TACCGTGGCTCATTAGGGCCATTCATTAATACACCACACTTTTTAATATGATCGCCAGTTATAACGCGCAATCGCAACATATATCGCGCAGTTGCGGCAGATTGGCGCGATCGCCAATTATAATACGCGATCGAAACTTATGGCACGCAATAGCGAGTTATAAAGCGCGATCGCAACTTATTATATGTGAATCGCGACTTATAATACGCGGTCGCGACTTATAACAAGCAATCGCGACTTATTATGTATAAATCGCTACTTATTACACGCAATCGCGACTTATTATGTTTAAATCGCTACTTATAACACGCGGTCGCCACTTATTATGTGAAATAGCGACTTATAATGCGCGATCTTGACTTATAATACGCAATCGCGACTTATTATGTTTAAATCGCTACTTATAACACGCGGTCGCCACTTATTACGTGAAATCGCGACTTATAATGCGCGATCTTAACTTATAACACGCGATCGCGACTTATTAGAAAATTAAACGAGACTTACCTGGAAGTTGAAGTTTGATTGGAATTCTATCAACCATCTACAAAGCAGAGATTACACGAGATACTACGCATGCGCACAGCTGGTCATATTTTAAAATGATTAGTGGCCACATGAGAACCTGTGAATGTGCATATACACCATATGCAGGGAGGTGATGGAATAATGGGAGGGCGTGTAATCTCTGCTTTGTAGATGGTTGATAGAATTCCAATCAAACTTCAACTTCCAGGTAAGTCTCGTTTAATTTTCTAATTCTATCAACATCTACCGCAGAGATTCCACGAGATTTTAAAGCCATGTGGGCACTAAATAAGTACTTCAGCAGTATGCATAGCTAATATTTGCATATTACAACACTAATACATATATACTTCAAGTATATAGATGTAATATGAACCAAAACAGTTGCTTTACATTCTTCTGTTGCTAGAATCCTCGAGTTTGAAAATTAACAAAACAGGAACCAAATAGTGCTAAACTTCTAGTGTCTTGTCCTTACGTGGCATCCGATAGTATAGCATTCCCAAAATCTGTATATTCTCGGTGAGATTCAATGTCTTTATTATAGAAGCGATGAAATACACAATCACTTTTCCAACTTGCAGCCTTGAGGATTGAATTTATCGGAACATCACAGCTGGCAGCCTTACTGGTTGATGCTGCTCGTGTACTATGAGGTTTGAATACACTTGTGTCAATCCCTGCAGCTTTCATTACAATCTTTATCCACCGAGAAATAGAGGCTTTTGACACTTTCTTGTGCGGTCGAATCGAACTAATGAACAGTTGGGTTTCATTGTTCCGAAGGGGCGCTGTACGCTTAATATATTCCTCAAGAGTTGAAGCTACACACAAGCTGTGGTCAGATGGATATCTTGGGATTACGAGAGAAGGTTGGTCCCGAGTCGGTGCCGACTGTTTCACTAGTTTATCAATGTGAAAAACATAGGAATCATTGTTCTTGCAGAGGGTTGAAAGGTCCATAAGGTGGAGGGTTTGTGATCTCTGCCCCGTAACTAAGGCACAGAGCATAACTAGTTTATGAGTAAGCTGCTGTAAAGTGAGTTCCTCTACTGGATGAAGTGTTTTGAGGTACGATAGTACAATTGAAGTATCCCATGTGTTCCGATATCGGGGTAGTGCAGGTCTAGCCTGAAAAACTCCTTTCATGAATCTTTGTATCATTGGGTGTGTACCAACAGATAAGTTTCCCTCCCAGACCACAAATGATGACAATGTACTCCGTGCAGTATTTATGCCACTATAGCTAAACCCCTGGTCAAAAAGTGCCTGTAGGAACTCCAGCACCTCAATCAGAGTTGGATGAAGGGGATCTGCATTCCACTGATTAGCAAATGACTGCCACTTGTTGAGAAAGACTTGGTATTGTTTTTGTGTTCCAGACCGCCAGGAGTTGAGTATTGTTGCTTGAGCTTTTGATGAAATGCCCTTACTTGACAGGGATCGCCGGATAAGAGACAGGCCATCAGCTTCAGTTGTTTCCCCAGCGGGTGTTCTTTTTCTCGCTTGAAAGGAAGAGACACATTGCTCTTGTGTTTCGGTAGAAGGATTGGTTGTTGGATCAACAACCTTGTCAACATAGGGTACCATGGCTGGGTTGGCCAATTTGGCACAATTAGGATTGCTTGTGTCTGAGCTGTATCCAGTTTTTGCAATACTTGTGGTATAATGCTGAAAGGTGGAAAGGCATAAAAGAATATATTATTCCAGTCCAAAGTAAAGGCATCAATAGCCCATGCTTGAGGGTCAGGATGCCATGAAACGAATGGTGTCATTTGGTAGTTAAGTCTGGAAGCAAACATGTCCACTTCAGGGGTACCAAAGTGTGCTGTTAGCTTTGGAAATATGTTAGCATCCAGTTTCCATTCTGTAGAATCATCAAACACCCTGGAGGCCTTGTCGGCAACAACATTAAGTTTCCCAGGAATATGGCTGGCAGTGAGCCAAATATTCCTGGTCATGCACCATGCCCATACTTCTCTGGCCATGTCATTGCATAAAAAAGAGCGAGAGCCCCCCATATTGTTAATGTAGGCAACAGCAGTTGTATTATCTGTCATGACTTTGACATGGGCATTTGATATTTCCCTACAAAGTGATTGCAGACCAAACAGAACAGCTCGTAATTCTAGGTAATTTATATGGTGGTCTTTCTCTACTGTAGACCATTCACCCCCTGTAGTTACATTAGCCATGTTAGCCCCCCATCCTTTGGTGGAGGCATCAGTGTAAAGCACATGGCCAATTTTCCCATGATCCAGCCGCTTTGTGAACAAGCGTGCATTTTCTACCCACCATAACATATCTTGGTGTGCTTTAGGGGAGAGGGTCATGTGCTTATCAAAGTCGCCTTGGTTTACTTTAAGTGCAGCTGTCTTTTCCCTATCAATTTGACGATAAAACAATGTCCCATATTCCACCCCTGGGCAGCATGCTACCATCATGCCAATCATCTGTGCCACTGCTCTTATACTACACATGTTTTGTTTAAGAACAGAAATAATAACCCCACATAGTTTATTGTGTTTTTCTTCCGAAATAGATATTGTCATCTCAATTGAATTCAACACAAACCCTAGGTGTTGAATGATTTGTGTTGGTGTGATCACAGATTTATCATCATGGGTTAGGAATCCCAATTCATGAAAACACTGCAAGGTGTCATCGACATTCAGTTGACATTCTGAATTAGAATACCCTACTAAGAAGGAATCATCAATGTAACCACTTGAAATGTGCCCCTTCCCCCTAAGATGGGAGAAAACAGGTTTCATAAGCTTTGCAACCAGGCGTGGGGCTGATGACAATCCTTGGGCCAAACAGGTGAATTGATATAGTCTCCCCTTCCATGTAAACTTGAGGAATTTTTGATGTTGCTTAGCAACAGGTACTAAGTAATAAGCATCCTTCAGGTCGATAGATGCCATGTAACACCCAGGACGCATGAGTTGGGTGCATGTATGGATGGACTCCATTTTAAAATGGTGATGCATCACAAATTTGTTAAGCTCTCTAAGGTTCAATATCATTCAAAACAACCCATCTTTCTTTGGTCGAAGAAAGATATTAGATATGAATTCCCCCTGTTCATGAGAGCTTTCAATGATAAAGCCCTTTTTTAGGAATTTGTGTATTTGCGAATCAACCTGTTCGGTCTCTTGTGTGCTCATTTTAATAGGTTTAGGTATTACAAGCTGTACCGGGTTGACCATAAACTCTATCAGGTACCCAGTAACAGCAGAGAGAATTACAGGATCACTAGTAAGCTCTTTCCATTTCTCTACGAAATGTTGTATGCGGCCTGCAACTGAACAGCCCCCCTTTGTCTGAGGTAGAGAACTGGGCAAATTTTGCTTACTATAATAATTAGTACTTACACTTTGATTGGTGGGGTTTATTTCTGTGTCACAGATTTCCCCCTGTCCTGAATGTGTCTGTTCGTCTCCGGTGCTGAAATTTTCCCCGGGGTCGGCCCTGAGACTGGCCGCCCCGTCGTTGGAATAAAAAATGAGCATTGGAGGTATTTGAGGTGCCTGGGCGAGGAGCAAATGTGTGTTTCCGCTTCTGGCTTGTCAACTGCTGGGCAGCCTTTTTACTTTCTTTCACCGTCTTTAGCCGTTCAGTCAAATCATCACCGAACAACTCGGCTGCAACAGGTTCTTTGCTGCTGCAGATTGCCTTGTAATTTTCATCAAGGTCTGCTTTGAACAAGTCTCTACGACACATGTTCAAATCATGATTGGCTGATGCAATAAGGAGGACAGAGGTTGACAACCCTTCCCAGAGTTCCTCTGGAGGTAGCACAGGTACTTTAGGGTCTTTACCCAAAGATTCACCAACTATCCCAGCAAATCGGGATATTGGAATGAGGCCTTTTATTAAGGCCTCTTGCAATTTTTGCAGCCTGGCATCCATGCTACGCGTTGGTTTCCTTGCGATGTCCCAAATCTCGGGGTTCACTTTAGTAACACGTAAGAGGTTGCAGTTTTCTGGTCTTTTCACACTTTCTTTCCGTTTGGCTAATGCCTGCTCGTTCAGTCCCGAAGCTAAAATATTGTTAAGGATGGTGGAAATTTTTTCCGGTAATGCGTGGTCTGTAGGTTCACTTTCAGTCACTTCGTGGACAAGGTCGTCTACCAGCGCACCGTTTTGGCTGGCAGGGAGCGAGTCAGTTGCTTCGTCATTCAGAAGGTCATCCTCGATTTCCCCTTCAGAAACACTAGCGCCGTCCTGTTGTTGCGCAGTATCATAAGCACCTTTGAGTTCTTTCACTACTGGAGCAAAGGAGTTGATTATCTCAGCGAGTTGAGTAACTTTATGACCGAGCTCCTCTAGAGTGACTTTGGCGCCATTTTCAGCCTCGGTGACAACATCACTGCTGATGGCGTGAACGGGTTTTATTACACTGGCAGCGCCAGCTTTCCCCGTTTTTCCCGACGTACGGGCCCGTTTTGCTCTCGGTTGCTCAATTTCTGTGAGTTCCCCTGATGTTCTCGGCTGCGCCGAGTCAGGGTCTGGCTCTGAAAGAAGTGCAGCTTCGGCTAGCATGTCGTCCAAAACATCATTCGATGCTGCCATGTTTATGAGCGAATAGCTGCAACCACAACAAAGAGTTTGCCTCGCAAACTCGGTGGTTTATTAATTGATGTTTTCCCTTATTACTTATATATTTAAAACAGTTCGTCTTCGCTAGATGTCATTCATTGACTAAGGATTATGTTTATGTATGACCAAACACGCCATGTAATGGCGGAGTGAGCATAGTAGAATGACCAGCTGTGCGCATGCGTAGTATCTCGTGGAATCTCTGCGGTAGATGTTGATAGAATTGGCGTATATTTGTTGAGTTTTGACTATCGATCGTACGGCCATAACAAAGCGTGCTTCCCGCTATTCATGCTCATGATTTGGAGCTTTTAGCTATTTATTTAAACTACATTAACGTCTGTGCAATCCCCGAAACTACCCCATGTAATAGAATGGAGGAGTTAAGACCAATTTCCCTTACTAGCGTACTCTCCAAAGTGCAAGAATGGATCCTTGAGGACGTTCAATAAGAAATTAGTGATTCTCAATTTGGTGGCCTTGCGGTATCTTCAGCTGTTTTGATGTTAGTGTATTTGGTACATAATTGGTATAAGAGCATAGAAAACACGGGAAAGGTTGTAAGAATGTCCCCCTTTTTGGACTTTGGTAAAGCCTATGATTTGATGAACCATAACATTTTGTTAGGAAATTTTATGAACATTGGTGTGCGCCCTTCGTTAATAGACAGATTTAGATCGAGGACGCGGACGTCAAAGACGACGTGAAAATGGCGTCAAAATGGTGTGGCATATCCATACATGGGCACAACACGCCATTTTCACGTCGTCTTTGACGTCCGCGTCCTCGATCTAAATCTGTCTAATAAGATGGTTTGCCACGTATTTACAAGGTAGAATACAAATGTGTACGTTTAGAAATCACAAGTCAGAGTGTAAAAGTATAAAAGGAGGGATCCTACAAGGAAGTAAATTGGGGCTCCTGGCCTTCATTATAAAGATTAACCAGCTGGCCAATGTTGTTGAAACACCAAATGATGATCAGAATGGAGGTTCTGACCAAGACGATATTGTTATATTTATGGATGCATGACACTACTTTATCCGAGGTGATTGATGTCACTAATCATGTATCTGGAAATTGCATAGGAAATAGTGAAAATAATATTGATAACATAATTTGGTTCACGGAAAATGAGCAAATGGAATTGAACGCTAAGAAATGCAATGAAATGGTAGTAGATTTTAGAAAGAATAAGACTGTAATCCCTCCTGTCTGCATTGGGCAACAACCTATGTCTAGAGTGAAAACGTACAAGTTATTGGGACTCTGGATAGATGATGATCTAAATTGGGAATCTAATACAGAGTAGGCTACATTATTAAGAAAGCAACCGAACGTCAATATTTTTTGAAGGTTCTTAAGGGTTATGGCGCACCAAAAAATGACTTCAAGACCTTTTATTGCTGTGTTATCAGATCAACCTTGGAGTATGGTGCCCAGGTATGGAACGGCAACTTGACGCAAGATAAGTTCAGATAAGTTTGCAACGAAAGCGGACAAATGAATTTGCAGTCAACAATTAGTTGTTTACTAATTAATTACAGCAGTTTACTAATTAATTATCGGAAATCATTATACATTTTGTGCAATGGTTAAACGCCTTTTAAAATAGGGTAAAGGCAAATCTTGAATGTTATTAGTTACTTCATCCGATAATTCGCTCCACCCTTGTGTTGCTCTATAAGAAAAACTTCCTTTAAGTTCTTGGTTTAGATAAAGATAGTTTAACATTATTACTCCTTAGAAAATAATTACTATTTTTACATTTCGTAAAGAAATTCTGCACATAATCAGGCAGTCCTGTTAATTAGTTAAAGCTTTAAACGTCATGATAGTTCTCTTTTCTTGAAAATGTCTTCAATTGGCATCCAATTGAGACTTTCTGGTATTTGAGTGGAACGAACCTCGTATGATTGTCCTGTGATAAGCCGACCTGCTCTTCTTTGTAACTTAAAAAGTTTGTTAAGAATGGAATTAGATCCATCATTTTATATTGTTGAGCAATATGTCAGGTGAGGAAATACTAGAGCTTAAAAATATTTTGATTGTTTGTTAATTAATGAGGTTACGCTAGGTTATAATATTTAATAATATATATATATATTTAATAATATATATATATATATATATATATATATATATATATATATATATATATATATATATATATATATATATATATATATATAATTACTATTCTTACTTAAAATGTTTTTTTGTCCCTACTCCGAGTTTCACGCATCACTGCGATCATCAGGAGACATTGTTCTCAAATACCGTTTGATTTTCGTTGTTTGATGGCGTGACTGCGCGCGCGCGCGAGGATTGTTGATGTTGCTTACACGCGCGCAGACTACATTTCCCGCTAAAAATTGTTTCTGGTGCACGCACTTCGAGAAGATTTCCGATCTTTTGTTGAGTAGATTTTTGTCGATATATATATATATATATATATATATATATATATATATATATATATATATATATATATATATATATATATATATATATATATATATATATATATATATATAATTACTATTCTTACTTAAAATGGTTTTTGTCTCTACTCCGAGTTTCACGCATCACTGCGATCATCAGGAAACATTGTTCTCAAATACCGTTTGATTTTCGTTGTTTGATGGCGTGACTGCGCGCGCGCGCGAGGATTGTTGATGTTGCTTACACGCGCGCAGACTACATTTCCCGCTACATTTCCCGCAGTCACGCCATCAAACAACGAAAATCAAACGGAATTTGAGAACAATGTCTCCTGATGATCGCAGTGATGCGTGAAACTCGGAGTAGAGACAAAAAACATTTTAAGTAAGAATAGTAATTACATTCGCTCTACAAAATTTTATGTATTGAGCACTCTCTTCACTATACGTTACAAAACTTGTGATATATATATATATATATATATATATATATATATATATATATATATGCGGTCTTTTTTCATTTTAAATATACGCAACGATCATGCAGCTTTTAAAACAATTATAAAGCAAACAATACATCGATAATCGATATTCAGCGCCTTTGCTTCCTTCTTTAGTTCTCTTATCAATGATGCTGTTAGCAATTCTTTCGCCTTTTTCTCAAAACGCTTTTGAAATTTACAAAATCTTGCAAAAATGAAATATATTTGCAAGCAATCAGATGGATGTCCAATACTGTCGCACTTAACGACTTGTGAAATTCGTAAGTCGTGATTGAGGCGTGAAATTTCACTAGTTTAACGAGTCGCACGAATTTTGTGGTCTTACTAATGGCTAAAGCACAAGTTGTGAATCACGACTTTCGAATTTCACGAGTCGTTGAATGCGACAATTAATTATAAGTCGTAAAATGTCACGAATTTAACGAGTCGCACGAACATCGTGAAGGTCTTACTATGTACGACTCAACGAAAAAGAACGTATAGCCTCATTAAACTAAATGCATATAGAAACTGGCCTGCTCATTGGTAGAGACAGCACATCATGAACTATCGTCTCATATTGAACGAATATTATAATCACATACCGATCCACGTAACAAACGAGCTAATTCTCATTGGTTGAGACAGCTGACAGCACATCATGAATTTGCGACTGGTGTTACACAGCGAACGGACTTATACTCGCAAGGACAATACAATTATAAATTGTCGAAATCCATTGTCAAATATTCAATATTTTAGAAAGGACTCAACACTTGTCCATGTTAAACTCCAAAACAAATGTTCACATTGACAGGCAGGCATTGCTGTAATTCGTTGAGAGACTTAGGATACAAAACTCCCTCAATATCGGTGGAGTTGGGATGTTCGCTTGGGCACCAGTATTTCAGGGAATAATAATTTATAGAAACGCTGAAGTAACAGATTAGCGGTTAACAATTAATGCATGCATGGTTTACTTCGTTATTTAAGCTGAGATACCTTTCTTCCTCTAACAATTATTCAATATTATCACTCAGTAAATACAAATAAACCGAGAGTAAAAGATTAAGCACAACTGATAAAAATTGCGGAGCGGTTGCAGTCTCATATAACTCGTCCATCGTGACTACGGTTGAAAGGCTTAAAGCAATTATTAAAGTATACTTGCATTTAATATTTTCCATAAAGACAAGGATGAAAAGTGCAATTTGCATCGCTATTCACTGTTCATGCAGAGAATGTCAAAAAGTATGCATGTATCCTAAAACCAAAAAACATATTCCAAAGATTCAATTTATAGCTATTTGCTAAACAATAACCTATGCCTTGATATATGCATGTTTAATCAGTTGTAATCTTGACATATAAAATAAGCTATCTTTATTAACATAACTGAATATTCGTTCGTTTTCGTTCAGTTGTGCATGTTAACTACTAATCGCTAAATCACGAGTTTCGAATTTCACGAGTCGTTGAATGCGACAGTATTGGACATGTTTGGGAAATCACGCCGCATTGTCGAATCACGTTCGTTAAAACAATTCAACTTTTTGAATGCAAATCGGAATTTTTTACTAGCTAAAATATGACAAGAACGAACGGAAGATTAAACAGTTGGTTCCAGAGGAGGAATGAGGGTCTTCACGAAATGCAACGCGCGAATCAGTGCGGCTCATTATTATTCAAGATATTTATTCTCAACGCGACGTTAGATTAAAAACTGGTGATTTATATTGCGATTTTTGCTGTGAAGATCTCGTTTTCTCCAAGGCATGTTTTGATAACTTTTTTGTTTAGTAATTTAATAAAAGAAATTTTGACTAATTTTGTATATATATATATATATCGCATTTTACTTTATAAGTTAAATTCCCATTGTATATTTATGCATGTTTTGGGTCAATGAACATGACGTTCAAAGTGGTATTGAAATATTCTGGAGTAAATTGTACTTTTTTACAAGGAAACTAAAATAAAATCACATGAGTAAATTCAGAAATGTTTACTCTTTATAGTGATACCTTAAAAGATGAATTTACTCCATAAAACCGAAGAGTTATCGCGGTTTGAAAATGAGATTTTAATTTAGTTTCCTTGTAAAAAAGTACAATATACTCGTGAATATTTCAATGCCACTTTGAAGGTCATGTTCATTGACCCAAAACATGCATAAATACAATGGGAATTTAACAGAAGTAAAATGCGATGTATATACAAAATTATTCAAAACTTCTTTTATTAAAATGCCAAACAAAAAAGTTATCAAAACATACCTTTGAGAAAACGAGATCTTCACAGCAAAAATCACAAATTATATATTCCAACAGTTTTTAATCAAACGGCGCGTTTAGAATAAATATCTTGAATAGTATCATTTGCGCGTTGCATTTCGGGAAGACCCTCATTCCTCGTCTGAGTTGGTTTCAAATGCTCTCGGAATTTTGCAACCCTCGAAATTCAACTATTTTTGCCTCGGCAAATAATTGCCGAAGTCTTTCGATCATGTTCGAGTTTGTCTCGGCAATTTTTTTGCCGAGGAACGCAATGAAATCACCTTAAATTCCTTCGGCAATTACTTCGGCACCCTTCGGCATTCACGTCGGCAGTTGTAATTAAAGTAAAGTACATATGAAATTATTGTAAACGAATATTATAACGAGCGCAGATTCTGGCATTTGACAATTTGTTGTTATTTTGCAAATCCCTGATTTAAATTTTTTTAAATGTTAGTGGTATAATTAACAACAAATTGTGTGAAAGAATAAACTTGACGGTAATCACGCGACAGTCGATAAAACAAAGTTTCTAAACAAATAAAATAAAGTTTCTCGACGTGGAATTGCCTTGATATTTTTTGCCGAGGCAAACTATGAAAAATCGTAAGTTGCCTCGGCAATTGCCGAGTGCCAAGGCGAATTTCGAGGGTTGTTTTGTGACCAATTTTAAGTAAGTTTTCTAATTTTTGTTTTAAAATGGCGAGTATTTCTGCTATTTTAACCCGAAGGTTTTCATTTTTTCTTTTTTTCTTCAACTTATTTTCTTTGAGATAAACAGTCTTTTGGGAGGCTTCAAGGAAAAATTCGGGAGCGTTGAAACATACGACTCTCACGCGCAATTTTAACGTTTTGCGGATGTGCATGCAGTGGCACACTATAACCTGGCATATAACTTTGTCAGTCGACGATAATCTTAATAAACATCACATCATCATTGATGTATTGACGATTATTCAAGCTACCAAGAGGCATAAAGAGAGGGGAACCTGAAGCGATATTCATATCAGATCTTGGGCGTTGAAACGAAGAACTCTGAGGATCTGAATTAAACGCATCAATCATATGATCTCCATTGGCTTGATCCAACAGCATCATCGTGATCTTCTTTTGCAACGGCCAGGTTTGGAGAGCGTCGTAGTCGCCTTTCATCACAACGAAAAACAAAGATAAATGCGACCCTTTTCCAAATCCATCTCCATTCATATATAGCTTAGCACACATCTTATATCCAAACTCACTGGTGTAAAAATATGTACTAAATATGGTAGTTTTCACTCCATTAATAGCATCTTGTCGCTTCCTCTGGTAGCCTTCAATCTTCCAAAGTAAGACACCGTTGTAGTTCAATTTAGTTTGAGACGGTTCTCTTGGTTCGAGGTCTGCAAACCTGGCTGTTATAACAGCAACGGATTGATCAATCTGTTCCATCTTATTTTGGTATCTTTCCATCGCCTCCATTGCTTCCCTCTGTTGTGTTTCAAGCCTGCTATTTTTTGCTTGCAACTGTTCTATTTCCTTCCCCATTCTCACCTCAACTCGTCTCATTTCAGCGTTACTTCCTGAATCATTAGATTTACTTGCTTCATTTAAATCCACGTTTTCCAATCTTCTTATTAAACCGTTTATAGTTGCCATCATTGTCGAGAATTTATTTTCCATGGTTTTAATTTCGGCCGATATTGCATCTTTTATTCGGTTAACTTCATCCAAAACCAACTGTTTGGTGGCAAAACACTCAAACTTCGGAGCAAGCTTTTGCATCTCGCCTTGCAGTACGAAGATAAACCTCAATAACAGCTGAATATGAAAACGAGATGCGTCCTTGTAATGCTTGCCAAGTTCTTTCCTTTTACCCACCTAAATAAATAATGTTACCAAAATCGTTAACAGATTGAAGTCGTATTATAGATACAAAACATAGTTTACATTAGACAAATGTTCAATTTAGTTTTTAAAGCAAGAAAATTGAGCTACATCTTTGAATGCGAGAACTAATAAACATAATATATGCAGTCATGGACCCACCGAAAGATACGAAAATTTCTGGCAACCAGAGTATCATGGACCCAGCCAGTTCGGGATGGCGGGAGGATGTGTGCCCATTTTGTTTGTAACTGCCGTTCTAAATCCGAAAAATAGTTCAAGGAAATTGATAGGAAATTGGCAGCGCCTTTCACTTTGCAAAGGCAAGGAGAAATGCACACCCCTTCCAGTAACTCTATCTCTGCATATATGAAAATAAATAAACATTATTTTCTGACTCTGTAATAACTACAAGTTGACCACCACTTGTTGGACGATAGGTAGGCTTCCCTATTAAGCACTACTGTATTGCCGTGCCACAGATGGTAGTTAAACTGCAGTTATCAGAGCGAAAACTAATGGTCATAGTCTTGTAATAGCTAGATGACTGTCTTGTACGGGGGCGGAAAAAATATTTTATTTTCTGGGACTGCAAGAGAACATTGAAATTTTTTGCAAATAATCAGGTAAATCGATACTCGGACACTGTAACTCTTTGACACTGACAAGTTTTCAAACTGAATGTCATGCTATATTTTAAAGAAAAAAATTAGTTTAGTCCACTGAGAATCTTAAAATATAACATAAAACTAATTTAGATAACATGCAAGGTGTCCCAGATTGGCTAAATATGCATTTGCCATACAACATGCATTTGTTACATCATTCTATAGTCTAATACATTTACACGCTATCGCGCTATATTAAGATGGTTGCACTTATAATTGCATTTCTGAGGTCATGATGTGAATTCTCCTCTGAATTTCTCCTTTTACCTAAATTATTACAATTTTTTTCTTTCTTGGCGAAATATTTTCTGGGAATTCAAACGAATTTCTGGAACCAATGGTACCGATGTCCGATACTTTTTCCGAGTCCGATACTAGTCTTGTAATAGTCTTGTCAATTTGATTTTAACTGTCCACACATTTTTGAAGTTGGCTGTCCTGTCAGGCTTACTGAAATCAACCAATACAGTGTACTAACACACTAACCTTAGTATAGTCGCAGCCAATTGATTTATAATCACATTCCACGTCGATTTCTTCACATTCCTCAGTCTGATGCTTTCTCATTTCCTTTCGAGGTATATTCGTTAACTGACAATGTTCACATGTGAGGGGAGCTGCCTGACAATTTTCTTTTAAATGACTCTATATAGAAAAATGAGCATAGACAATTGTATAAAACAGAGAATAATATAATAATATTCATCTTACTAGGGCGCCTCTGCATGTCTTATCAAGGAGTATAGCTCCGATAGAAGGGTCAGTGTTTGTGGAAGGAGAAGAAACCAAACTCTACTTATATGTTTTCAAACAAATCAAGTCAGAATATAGATACCCATCAAGTAACAAGCCAACCTCGTACCCAGGATCTTTCTAGAGGCCCTGGGAACGAGGTTGGTAACAAGCCCTTTTCTCGATCTATACGGTATATTAGCAAGCTTATGTAAGGATCAGCGTGCTAACATACCTGGAATCGTATTTGATAATATCAGAGTACAATAGTCTGGCGTTACATTAAACCAGCAAAGTTAAATGATAATATAAAAGGCGTTAAAAAGGCTGAAGGAACTGTATTGTTTCATATTTCTAATCCCCCAAATAGCTTCACTTGTACGAACATACCTCTAGAGAAGCAAAAGGCAGCGTTTCTTGACAATTTTCACACTGGACTGATCGATATAGACATTCTTCCTTTAAATGTTCTCCCAAGAGTGAACGTTTGATTTTAGCTTTACATGCAGTATGAACACATATTATCACGGTGTACTCACATGAGTCGATGTGAGCCTAAAAAGAAATATGACCATTATATACTATTTGCAGTAACCAAGCAATTTCAAACACTTACAGAAAAGACACTAATTTATTAGTTAATTAATGTGATTTTCTAGTTTAGAACCGTTAGTTCCAAGGTGCGCGAAATCAAAACTGGGCAAAAATATCGCATTTAGCTATAGGCGCGCTGATTACATCGCGCGAAATTAAGCATGATTTAAGACTGAGCGAAAATTAGTACAACACGAGTATACAAAGTATACATTCAAACACTCATTTATTAATTTATGAATTATTATTCATGAGCTAATTGGCAAATCATGTCAACCATAATATGTCACGTGCAGTGGCTTTAAACCTGATAAAACACTCCTAATTAGTATTCTTTATATAAAGAATACTAATAAGGCAGTATCTATTGTTGCCGTCTCCTCATTAGTATTATTTATATAAAGAATACCAATAAGGCAGTAGTATATCTATTGAATTTGTAGTCGTGTTTGAAGCCGTTTAATAAACTCGCAGGTCGTGTTTTATTAGGTCTAAAGCCACTCGCGCTGCGCGCTCGTGCCTTTAAACTTAATAAAACACTCCTGCTCGTTTATTAAACAGTACATAATCTTCGACTTGTAAAACAGTGACATATTATTACTGCATAAATATATAATGTAGCGAGTTAAAAAGTCTTCCAGTACGTTTTGTATTGGCATTTTAAGACATTTTTTTCTCGTTTTTTTTAAATCTCAAAATTTGACCTGTATTTAACCTATTAAGTTCTATTAAATATTTAAATTTGAAAAAATTCGCCAGTATAGTTTTTGTGAAACTAAATTTTGGCTTTTAAAAAAACAACACTGGCGATTTTCAAAAAACGTTCTCAAACGATTCAGAATTATGTCTTAATAATGTACTTTCTGCAAAAGGTATAGGTCACCGTTCTTATTTTTCCGCTATGATGGCTGATATTGGCTAGATATGGTGACGTTATGTTGCCATAGTAATATCAGGAGTAACGTTTGTGTGTTAAAATTACTCTTTGCTGTACGAGGAAAAAAAGCTTATGAAAAAAAATTAGTTTTTTCAGGCTATAATCTTTAAAAGAGGTTTTAGTTGAAAACACTGATATACTGTACGTACATTATTTAGAAACTGTAGGGAGCCTCCTTAAGTGATGCAAAATGTCTCCTAATTAGAGACATTTCTTAACGCGGGTCTGAATGTCGCGAGCTAGCTAATAGGCAATTCCAGCTATAGACTACATTTTGATCTAGGCAAGAAGAACAACATCACAGCTAGAAAGAGCATGTTATAATTAGTAAAATTGCAAAATTTGGTTGCGAAATGTTGTAAAATGCGGAAAATATAGCCCTGCGAAAGTTGCAAATTTCGTATTATTTTGTATTACGCACGGGAAAATGCACGACATTTGGGCCGAAAGTGGTCAAAATGTGGTGCATTTTCCCATGCGTAATACAAATTAATACAAAATTTGAAAATTTCGCAGGGCTATATTTTTTCCGCATTTTACAACATTTCGCAACCAAACTTTGCAATTTTACTAATCTTAACCTGCGCTTTCTAGCTGTGGTGATGAATTTTTTGTTCTTCTTGCCTAGATCAAAATTTCGTCTATAGCTTGAATCATCCATTGAATTTCCTAATTTTAAGTGGACGATTTTCTTCAACCTCGTTCCCAGGGTATTTAAATACCCTGGGAACGAGGTTGGATTTTCTTCTGGCTAGCATGCACCCTGAATCTACAGTAAATCGAGCTAACTACCAATTTTATTAAATATTGACTTTTCAGTATGCAACGGTTGAAATTCATCGCATACCATGTGTTCATGTCAATGTTGTTCCTGGTTTGTTCTTTATGCCAGCATTTTCCACATTTTTCCCTATGCTACCATCTGACCTACCTACAATAATGGAATGGCTTAGAACAAAGGTAATGTTATACGCAAGACATTATGCATTTTAGGCGTATTCACTTTTGAAAGATGATGGATTCTCGTCTGATAGGAATACGAATTTTCAACGGCTATTTTTACTATTTTGTTCTTGGTAAACAAATATTTCTGCGTGGAATGCATTTTGTGAAACAAGTACACCAAAAGATGAAACTAAAAGGTTATTTTCAGGGCGCTAAAATATATAATTATTCAGCGCCACTGCATGGTTCCTTTATTCATGAATTGTTAAAAATCACTGTTTTAGTTCTTGACCCACACTCCTATACCAGCCTCGCTATCGTCGGCCTCAACCTGGATTTATTAAAATATCAAGTTGAAATATAGCCTTGTTGTAGTTTGTATATTTTAAGTACTTTTAATCGGGTCATATTTCTGACCCGGGGTCGGTTGTATGAAACCACTTTTTAACTACATTTTGTAGTTAATTAGTAGTTAACTCTAAAGTGCGCGATTTTGATTGGTTAACTGGATGTCGCGCTAACTGTAGTTACATGTACCTTAAATGACACCCTAGTAGACTCCACATGCTAGCTGCATAGCGTGTGGTGACCGTGGTACCAGAGTGTGAGAGGAAATAGCCTGGGTATGAGGTTGTGTGGGTCGTTGATGTTTGTGCTAACTGCCATAATACGTATGAAAATAACTGAATAGACAACTGTTTGTCTTATAGTGTTTTATAAATTAAAAAGACTCGACAAATCCTAGACGGAAACAAATTGGAAAACGTTAATCATCATTAGAACAGTTTCGCACGACATGTTGTTTAGCAATATTTCTGAAATCACACTAACCGTATTTAGTATAATCGTAGTAGACTAGTATACTATTGCAAATGCTGTAATTTGATTGGCTACTCTACTTTGCTATCTATTCCTCGATAGATAGCGAGTAGCAAAACAATAATTTTCTGGCGCATTTTTTGAAAAAATGGCTTCTATTATCAAATTATTGAATTATTTTGTGGAATATTGTATGTTTGATCTCTGATTCTACTAAAACAATTAGATTACTCATAGACCTCATAGAAATCTCGAGCTCGTAATCTAATTGTTAATTAGATCAATAGACTAATGGGGTTAAATGTATATTTCGTTTCGATCTGTGTTTACCTTACTTCATTTTACAAACATATAATTTATTATTTCCTGGTTAATTAGGGAGACCAAAGAAAATTTAATTCTCTATCTGAAGTTGAGATACAACATACGCCAAAAGTTTTTCAAGTTAAGCTCAAGGTGAGAGAGTTGATGATGATGTCAATTTCCACTTTAGAAACAACGTCTACTTAAACTTAGTCATTTCAGGACTTTACCCGATAATATGTCACGTCCTGCTTGAGTGAAACCTTGGTCGTCGTCGTCGTTGTTTGCTTGCTTGTTTCAATATAAAGCACTGCGAGCCTTGGCTTAGCCCAGGGCTAGGCTAACGGCTGTGTTGGGTCCAGAATGTTTGGCGTAGGCTATTGACCAAAGTTTGATTACACTATTAAAATTTAGGCCAAACAAAGCTTCAGGCCAGGCTAAAACTCGCAGTGTAATCACGGTTGAATGTCACTGACAACATCTGACGACCATATTCTGCCCCGTTGACCACCATGTTTTCCAAAGTTACCCGTGAAGAAAGAACATACGATTCAGAATAATTTATACGTCTTCATGCGTCAAAATGATTAAGTCAATTCTTTTTTAGCTTTTAGCGTCTGCATTGAGTACCTTATTTGATGAATTAGAACTCACTGAAGATTGTTATGCTGTTGGTCATACTTCCAAGTTGCTTGCAGCGGAACTTGTTAACATCTCTTCTGCGAAACTGAAAAAGGTGTTTTTTCTTGTATACAGCTATTTCAATTTTGGTTGTCCGCGGGCAAAGCGGAAAAGTCGAATACGAGCGTGAAAGGCTTGCTGGGAATCGCTAAAATATTAATGAATTTTTTAGCGATTCCCAGGCCAGCAAGCCTTTCGCGCTTGTATTTTTCCGCTGTATTCGCCGACAACCTTGATTGAAATAGCTGTATACTGCAAATGTAGTATTGACTTCTCCACGCATGCAGAATTATTAAATGTTTTATAAATAATGCTTTGTTAAAACATTTAAGGTTACAGGACAGCCTTTTGGGCGTTTTGCGGAAAATCGCTGCTGCGCGCTCAATATTAGTCCGATTTTCACCAAATTTTCAGTAAACATGAAGCTCTGGGACGATGTTCTGGCTGTGCATGCAAAATATGGTAAAGTTGTAAAATTAACAAACAATAAAATAATGTAAGAATGATTCAGGAAAATGTTAAATCGCGGTACCTTTACGTTTTTGAGTTGTTTTCCTGCTGGTTTTAAGATATATTTATGAAAATATCATTTTTATACAGTAAAATAGTTGTTTTAAAAAATTGTGTTCGGAAATTTTTGTTTATTTCGTCATTCCGCTGATATGGCGATTTCTTTGACGACTGCAATATATTTCTGAATCGTTTGAGTGAATTGCTCCTTAGGCCAAAAAAATGTGGGTTTCCTATTTCTTCTTGTAAAAACGTAGGTATAGGGTAGGTTGGTTTTAACTTTTTTTTAAACTTTTTTAAAAATTTCCTAACAATCGGACGCCATTTTGTTTAGTCAGTGCTTCCACATCCAAAGATAAATTTCCGTAATATTACCTCAAATTTCCATTTTCCGCAAGCGTTTTCCTCTAAGTGGAAACACTTACAAGCATGATCCAATAAAAAAGTTTAGGGTTGGGATTTCGGCGTCCAAAAGCTAGGTAGGGTCGGGAAACCGGAAACCCACATATTTTTTTGGCCTTATTATTAAAATATCCAAAATTAGAAAAAAGCCGAACACAATTTTGAAACTGACGTCTTTTGCTATGTACTGTGAGAATTTGAGAAATATTCGTTAAAACCCGCAGGAGAACAACTCGTTTGAAAATCAGTAATTGCCGTAAAATTCTTCGGGAGAAAATTCTATTTGAATATTACATTTTCAATGTTTTTCTTATTGCAGCGAAAGGTATTTTATTTAATAACTCTGCGAGTTTTCAACATTTTTCGTTCAAACTTGGTCAGATAGTAGAACTAGTCTAATGCTTTCATGGAAACCAATAAAAAATTTTAGGCAAAATTAACACTCAAAGGTGTTCTGTAACCTTATTCTGATGACTGCATGGGGTTTCCGATAGTCGCAAAAGCTGCGGTCTAAGGCCCTAAGGGTAATGATTGAAAGTGATTGACTAGAGAGAGTCCCAAATTTAAAAATCAGAGTTAAGGTTAGGTACACGCCTGGGGTTGGGGTAACGTTTGGGATTGTTGCGAGTGCCTTGTTGATTGTTTCGCGCTTTAACTTCAAAATGTTCGTTTAATCTTGAACACCAGCAGCCATCTCAATCAATGGCGAAGCCAGCCAAGTGACTTGGTCATGCTAAATGTTTTCGCGAGCCATCTAGGGGGTTCGGGGGCATGAACCCACCCACCCACCCGGAAAATGTTGAAAATTAGAACCCGGGAAAGCCATTTCCTGCGATTTGGGCATTGAATTCTGCGCTCCAGTTTGATCTCAAGATGTTTACTATGAAAAGATAGCGATTTTTATGGCGAATTCAATTTCCCATCTACCGTGTGCAGAAATTTCTGTAGTAGGATAATAAGTGTTTTCTGAAAATTCCCGTATAAGACTCGAGTTTTGGGAATATTGAAGGGCGATTTGTGAATGTAAAGGCGAAACAAAGATGTCTTATATATAATTTAAAGTAGACTTTCAAAATTTCAATTGCCTCTGTAGCTCAGTTGGTTAGAAACCACTGACAGCTCATTTACCTCTGTAGCTAATTTGGTTAGAGCGCTGCTCTGGAATCGCAGATTCTGTTCTTTATTAGGTCTAATAAATGTATATAAATTTCCACTCGATAATTTCCGTCTACAATACCCTTCAACTAATATTCAGTCGAGTGAGATGCCGACAAAATCTTGATATATATTTTTTATATCCTTTAATCATTGGCAGATCTTTATCTAATATAATGTACTGTAGTTAGCTAACAGTATTTACAATGTAATTAAAATATTATTTATCATTTCATTTTTCTGTAGAATGTTGGAAGTCCGTGTACGGTAGTTTTTATTGATCGAACATTAGATATGGTTCAAGCATCATCCACGTCTAGCAGTAACTTGGCTGATAAGATATTTCAATTACTGCCGAAACTTCCTGGACATAACCTTGATGTAGTGGTTGATATGACAAGGCTTATTTCATCAACAACGTAAGGTTTTTAAATGCTTTTAATTGAAAATAAAAAGATTTATTTTAACTTTAAGGAGCGGATTGATAGAGATTCAACTACCTGAAAATATAAGCAGAACTTCGACGTTTCGAGCGAAGGTCCTTCGTCGAGAAGTTAGTATAGAGAGTTTGGCAACCTACAATCCTGGACAAAACATCTGCGACACTTCCAGTTATACTTGACAAAATATCGTAATATTATCGTAAATTTAGAAAACCTACCCCTTTCCCCCACCAGTTCAATGTTGATTGGATTCGTAGAATACGGATGGAACGTCCAACATTGTTTTGGGGGGTGGAGGGGGGCGAACGAGTAAATTATTCCGGTCTAACTGGTAAAAAAAGCCACAAAGGAATGTTTTAATAGAGTGTCGCAGATGGTTTTGTCCAGGATTGTAGAACGGCAACGGCAACGGGGAAAATATAATTGCTTATAAGTTATGTCGTTGTATTTGAGCCAAAGTATACGTTACTACACTTAATTTGCCTCTTTAAGTATTCCTGTTTCTTTCAAACGTACCCTTAAGCCTGGCGCACACGATGCGATTTTAGTCGGCCGATAAAAATCGTTTGACATACCGATATACATCGGTATACTCCGCACACGATTACGAAAACAATACGCTCCCTGAACTGTAGCCGCCATGTTGCCAAATAAATACAAGCACGTGATCACAGCATGAAATCTGATTGGTTATACTTAAAATTCCACCGATAAAAATCGTATAATATCAAAACGTTTTGATGTTGTCAATGACACCGCACACACAACGATTTTGTTAGTTTTAGTCAAACGATTTTTATCGGCCGACTAAAATCGCATCGTGTGCGCCAGGCTTTAAGTAAAAATAGTCCGCGAATTCAAATAAAACACCTCAAAATGCTCAAATAACATCGAACGAATTAACTGTTGCCGTAGTCAAGCACCGTGAAAATGATGCAAATCACGTACTAGTTTCAACAACTACGGCATTGCACAACGCTTAAGACCATGTAATTTAAGCCTAGTTTCCATTTGGTCGTTAGCTGTCGCTCGCACGACAAGTGGCTGATGTAATAGAGTGTCAACAAAACTTTATAAAACTCTGCAATCATTAAGACTGATTTGCATGTAACACACAAAAAGACTATTGATATTAGACTATTTCACATATACCGCTTGTCGTGCCAGCGACAACTAACGACCAAATGGAAACTAGGCTTTACATTCGCCTTTGTCTTTGAGCTTGAGGATTAATGCTATTGTTGATGACCATATTGCCGTTGCCGTTGCCCTTGTATTTGCCAAACTCTCTAGTAGCGGGGATCGGGAAAGTTGCTTGAGCTTTTATACTACACACGTAAAAACGCACAAGTTGTAACAAACCTGCAGCAGATTTGTAGCAATGCTGTTCCAACAACTTGTCATCAGGATGTGTCCGCACTGCATGCTTGTTCCCAGCTTGTTGACAAGTTGTCAACGGCTTGTTGACAACTTGCTACAAGGTTGTTAAGTTCAACAAACTTGTTACAGTTGTTCCTACAACTGGTTATCGTCCTGCAATTGAACAATTTGTCAACAAGTTGTGAGTGTCTGACAAGCTTGCAGCAACATGATGAAATAACAGCTGACATGTTGACATGAATGTTGACAAGCTTGCTACAAGCCTGTTGCGAACACATCTTGTTGACAAGTTATGAGATTTTTACTACGTGTGTAGTGAATATTAAAGCGATCACGTGACAAAAAATAAACCAATCTGATCGATTTAGTCAAAACAAAGTGTACACAAAAAATATAAATTCACATTACAGTATATATTAATACAATATTTTTGGAAACTACAACAAATTAAAGTAATATATGAAAAAATATGGAAAGTAAAGGTGAAAATTTAGCTATAACTGCTTTGGGCAGGCAAAGACAGATTGAGGTAAACATACGAAAAAGGTTTATTGTAAAAATACCATAGGGGTGGACAGTGCCAAGTTTGGAAATGAAGCGCATTTCATGTCTTTTGCGGTTATCATTGCTGACAGAGGGCTCTAATTTTCATATCTGAAACGCTGTGATGGTCACTAAAATGTCTGGCAACAGCCTGGCTAGCATCATTGCCAGTGACAGCATGCCGATGCTAAAACCATCGGATTGTTTTATTTTTGTCACGTGATCGCTTTTATATGCACTAATATAAAAGCTCATGTAGTTTTCACAACCCTCGCTACTAGCGAGCTTAAGCATGCAGGACGGCAATGCGGCGACGACCATAGATATAGGAGATCTAGATTGCTAACGCATACCTAGCGCAGGCGGGGCCTATACATGATAAATCCAAGATGGCGGTACAAGAGGGCAAAAAGACTGTAGATTCTACTACGAAAATCAAGATTTTTGCATTTTTTGCCGTCGCATTGTTTTGAAACTTATTCGGTCAAATTTTATGGTAAAGAGAAACGTACCGCGAAGATTTTGAGCATATTTATGATTGAATTGGATGAAAACTCGCAAAATTATCCAGCGATAAAAGTTCGTGTGAAATGGTCAGTTGGTCAGTTGGAGCGTTTTATTGCCAGAAATACTGTGCTATGTTAACATCTAGTCTTGTGAATGGTGTTTTATACTTGCATCTTTCATCATCATCTGCTCTGTCCTCATAATTATGAAAAATGAACTGTTATGTACCCCCCCCCCCCCTTGCTTGTTAGAGAAGTAAACTGATGAGAGCACTGGATAAGGGTCTATCATCTATGGTCTGTTATAATTTGCTTTCTATGCAAATAGTGAGCAAAAATTAAAGCAAAACTGTACAAGTTACATATATAGTACTATATCAGTACTATACACGAACTTTTATCGCTGGATAATTTTGCGAGTTTTCATCCAATTCAATCATAAATATGCTCAAAATCTTCGCGGTAAGTTTCTCTTTACCATAAAATTTGACCGAATAAGTTTCAAAACAATGCGACGGCAAAAAATGCAAAAATCTTGATTTTCGTAATAGAATCTATAGTCTTTTTGCCCTCTTGTACCGCCATCTTGGATTTATCATGTAGGCCCCGCCTGCGCTAGGTATGCGTTAGCAATCTAGATCTCCTATATGTATGGCGACGACGGCCAAAACAAATTCCTTCAAATAAATTATAGTAAAGAAAACTTGTCGTATATTTTAATTCGTATGAATTTAATACAGTATAAGAAGTTGAAAACATTGGCTTTATGTTTGGGAAGAGTTCTACTGAACCGAATTTCAAGTTGCACTTGTGACGGCTTGAAATGCAGGCGTTGTATAAAAGACGTGAAAATCTGTGATTTGCCGTTGTAAACAGAGCGACGACTAGGCTATATATACGTTTGAAACTCCCCTGGGACTTTAATTATTTACATCTTTTCATTGACTCATTGTATTGGTTACCGTCGCTGTCGTGTTGCCGTCCTACATGCTTAAGCTCCCTACTATAAGGGAGTGTTCATTATTTATACCCGGGGTTGGTACCGAAGAGAAACTAATCGAAAATAAAAGAGAAAAAACAACCACCCACCCTTTCGGTCAACCATTTTTTTCCCTACCCAACTATTGCATGACTTGGATTTTTATTTTACCCAACCCAATTTCAAAATTATACAAGTATTTTACATATATAGGCTACATATATATTATTATACAAGCTAGGCCACTATAGTATAAACAGTACTATGCATATTTGATGCACTAACTGAACGGTCAAATATAATCATTTGTACCTTCACAAGTTCATATTATGTTCCCAAGCCTCCAGGTTCCTGCAGTCCTACCATATCTCGTTGTTGTAATCAGAAGGGGATGGGAAGTTGGACTTTAGTTTTCTTTGTGGGGAATGAATGGATATTTCCTGGAATGACCTATTTTGTTAAATATAGGATTTTCATATTTTGTTCAATTCAAGGTTTGTATTGAAAATAATTTACCCAACCATAGGCTTTGTTCAAAAAATATTTACCCAACCCTTCATACCCCAGAAAAATGGCTTACCCAACCATTTCTCTTCGGTACCAACCCCGGGTATAAATAATGAACACTCCCTAACTTCCCGACGAAGGGCCTTTGCTCGAAACGTTGTAGTTCTGCTTATGTTTTTCAGGTAGTTGTATCCCTCTCAATCCACAGCTGTCCTGTTATCGTCACTTCCTACACTGACACAGACCGTTCCAGATTATTTTTACTTATTATAATTGTATTCATTATTGTATATCGTTCATGGTTATGGAAAGCAAGCAGGTGCGGTGGCAACAGCGTCGTGATTTAAATAGTATTTTGCGTGCATTGCTACTTGGCATGATAAATTCTAGGCCTGGTCTCGTTTGCGTTTCGCCACTTTTGGCACCTTCTTCACTGATCTTCTTGTATAATGTAATTGTATTATGTAAATATTAATTGTTTAGTTTTTTATGTGTCAAATTAAAGTTGTTAAATTTAAATTATTTTATTTGATCTGATTTGGTGAGAGGAATACGAATAATATGATTACCGTTCCTAATTTTACATTTCCCTCTTCCATTGTTAAGTTGTAAGAATAACGTACTAGTTCCAGGATCATTGGCTCACAGTCCTTCACATAAAGAAGCTCAAAGTTTATTATCGTTCATGGTTATGGAAAGCAAGCAGGTGCGGTAGCATACAGCTTCGTGATTTAAATAGTATTTTGATCAAACGAATCAACGATTGCTGAATTGACTTAATATAGTCATCTCTAATACAGTCATCTCTCTAATACAGACATTTCTCTCTCTAATACGGATACCTTTCTAATACGGACATCTCTCTAATATACAGACACCTTTCTAATACGGACATCTCTCTAATACAGACACATCTCTAATACGGACAGCTCTCTAATACAGATATCTCTCCAATACGGACATCTCTCTAATACGGACACCTGTTAATACAGTCACCTCTCTAATACGAACACCTTTCTAATACGGACATCTCTCTAATACATGCAGACACGTCTCTAATACGGACAGCTCTCTTTAGCTATATAAAACTGACAGCTTTTTTTTAAAGAAAGTTCATTTGTTAATGCAAGCGACGGTTTTACTGTTTCTTTCTTTATTGTTTTCAGGACAGCTTAACAAAAATTTACATGAAATTAGTCAAGATTTTAAAAGAAGAATCCATCTCTGTTCCGGAAGATACTAACGTCGGAAAAGTGACTACAGACAAATTATCATTATTGATTAATTATTTTAGGTACTGCATATTAATACTGTAAATCTTTATTATCAGAAAACTCTCGTATTACTTGCGATTTTGTAACAATTGCTTTAGACAAGTATATAGGTTCTACATTACATTACATTACATTACATTACATTACATTACATTACATTACATTACAGTACGTGTATCATTACAAATACATAATATTGTTTTTGTATACTGTAACCCCATCTCTGAGAATTCTCGTATTTCATTTAAGATGAAGAAATTTATTAAGCCCCTCCCTCTATTAAGCCTTCCCTCTGTATTAACCCCTCCTCCCCTCGCCTTTACCACAGAGACACACACGTGTATACTGATTAATTCACATTCCCTACATTTCCCTCATACTGCGTTTTACCAAAAGAATGGCTTTGGCTAAACAAACATTCCCCCTCCAATAAGTCCCCTTCCTCAAATATACTTTAAATAAATAAGACGGGCGGAGGGGTTAATAGAAGATTTACGTGTGATTACATCTTTATCACTTACAGTATTAGTAAAATTTAAAATTTATGTAAAGCTGATATTATTTCAGGAACAACATGGAAATATTTTTGAAGCATTCAGCTGTGTTACAAGTGGCTATGGCGGTTGTCAATACTGCAGAACATGAAGATAATTCATGTCTTGAAGAGATTCAAAGCACAGAGAAAGTATGTTGATAGTTTTATTCAATAATATTCATGTATAACAAGGTTTCACCAAGTGAGACAATGTATCTTTGTACAATGCAGCTTTGTACCGTTGTGCCGCGTTATTGCACCTCGCGCGCGCTCGATCCCTCAGACTCTTGAGAGACGGACTTTGATCCAAGTCTACACATGTGACAAAGACTAAACTGGGAAATTTATGAAACTTATAGAGTCTTGAATCGAATTTCCACGAGTGGAAACACGATGACAGCCTCGAGTTCGAGCTATTGATTTTTGTGCATTAGAGCAGATTCAGGAAGTGTTATTGGAGTAACTAAATAAGTAAATTATTCATTCATTTTAGTCGTATAATTATGCACTGGCCCTGTATTTGGCGGAAAATTCATATAATGGAAATATTTGCTGGCTTTCATCTTTTAAAGTTCTTTACTTAAAGTGCACCATATGGGACACTCAACATGCAAAACCCGCCAATTTATTACCTATATGATGCAAAATATCCTTTTAATTTAAAAATTATGTATTCCATGGCACTAAATTTATTCCATGGCACTAAATTGTCCGTATTTTAGGTACTGACGCCTTTTCGTCTAAATTTTTCAATCAATCAATCATGTAATCGTTGTATATAATCTCACTGGTTGGTGTGCTATCACACAGGTATTACAGCTGAGTCTGAATGAAGAGGATTCACCAAGTTGTCTGTCACATATGCTGATGTTGTTGAAAAACGTCAGAGAAGGAATCAGGTACGATGAATTCCATAAATTCCATAATTAGAGAGTTTCAGCAAGCGACACAGACATCATGAACGGTAGTTAATAGAGAGCTCAAGCAAGCGACGTTTTTGGCAACACAGACGTTAAGCGTACATAATTTAATTGTTAGTTATGGCGTCAGAACGTCAGCAGTTCGTGTTTGAAATCAGGAACGCCAGTTAATGCAGTTCAGTAAACTCTATACAAACTGGAACGATAACTCCGGCTTTGTTTTTGAAGTGGGGCGGAAATTAAAGCCGTCTTGTAAGTTATGCCCTATAGGCCCCTATATACGCGGAAATTCACTGGCATCATTTCATGTAGAAATTTCATACTTTTTCAGCCGACTATTTTCATGGTCTTAAGAAACTGGAGGAAGTGGTCTTTCAGAATAAGGAAATTTTAGAAACATTTCATCGTAAAAAGAAAAGTTATTTGACGAGTGAAAAACAAGACTATCTATGAGGGAATTGAACTATAAACACAGAATAATATGGACTGCAGTTACATCAACCATACCTTTCTATTTAGTTTTTAGCTTTTAAGTAGAGTGATTTACCACTATAATAAAATGTACGTGCAAAAGTTGAAAAATGTCGATATAGGAAAATACACTGTATACACGCGTGTTTTATACCCACAAGAGATCGCTCTATAGGCCGCCATGTTCGCTTCACCCAATCATAGAGCTTTTTATCTGGAGTTATCGTTCCAGTATTAGTGAGATTATAAGCAAGCAACGTTTTTATCAATACGGACGTCACCCAAAAATTAGTATCACTAATATAGGAGGCATTTTGCATCATAGCGCTCATGTAAAAGCTATCAAAATCTTATGTTTTGTCGTATGTGTTGATGATTACCACAAATTGACACAAACACAGTTGATACAATCACAGAGTAGATAAGACATACAGAGACGTAACTGACCGTTGTAAACACTGCGGAAGATTACGTTTTCATGTACCCACTTTTTTTCAGGCGACCGGGCGAAAAATGATCAACTGCGCGTGCTCAGCAAGTTTAAAGTGAGTCGTCATCAGGATCGTCATCCAATCAGATGCATGCATCTAGTAACTTGCCGAGCATGCGCACAAAAAAAGTGGGTACACTAGTTACGTCTCTGTATGTCTCTACTCTGTGATACAATCACGTGCGTCATTTCAAACAAGAGCGGCTGTCGCCATCTGTAAAACTTGATTACTTCCAGGCCCTTCCAGTTGGCGCTCGGGAATCAAACCTTTTTTGCTTTGTCTCTCTATAGTATTAAAGGCTCCCGAACGTTGCATGCGTTATATTTATGACACTTATGGCCAATAATTCAAATAAAGGCCAACAAGCGCTGTTATATACCACGTGTCTTACAAAGCTTTATGACTTGAATTTCATTTCTCTAAGAAATTCCAAAGATCTGATTTACCACAATTTCTATTAACTGTGGATTTACAAATCTTGATAAGAGTGGACAATCCTGTTCACCATTAGCCTGCGTAGCAGGCGTTTAGTGCGGGCGGCAGAAGAGGCCCTCTCTTCTCCCGCCCGCACTATACACCTGCTACGCAGGCTAGTTCACCATGGGACATACTGTAAGGATTCCTTTGAACAAAACTCCTTCCAATCATCGACATTTATTGTAAGGATTTGCAGTAACTAGATTTTGTCTATGTAGTGTACACATACAATACTTTTGTACGAGGTTAACTATATTTAATTCAGTAAATGACAAATGAAACTTGGGAGTTCAGCGATTTACAGTAAACCACGGTGTATACTATAGTTTTCGGGAGCATGCTACTAATAAAAAATAACCAGAGAATTGGCCCACTCACTTGCATAACGAAGGGCTTTCGCTAATTCTCTGCTTGTCTATCAGGCAGATGACTTTTAACAGCAAGGGTTTCCCTTTGTTTGGTGTGAACGGGTATTGGTTTTATTTCTTAGCGTGCAACAGTTCATTTTTCCACTTGTTCTCTCTAGCGTTTTGAATTAAATGCAGATGTATTTTGTTCTCTGTAGGTCGTACTGTCTTGAAGATATATTATTGTTGTTGGTCTATGTCTATTCGTTGGTGGGAGATGAAAGCTCAGATTCACTGGAAGAAGAAAGCAATCTTCAGGTTTTTATTGCAAATATTTCCCTGCTGTGGTTTAATTAAGTAGACGAATGTATAATCTCTGAACAAATTATGTTCTGCACGATCCAACATTTCGTTGCTCCACGTACAGGCGTGCGAGGTAGGGGGGGGGGGTGGCAGCTGTCCCCAGAGAATTAAAAGATCGATAAGGTGGGCAAATTTTCAAGGTAAGTTAGGCAAATTTTCAACGTAGGTTCGCCAAAAAAAAACGGAGGAGAGGAATTGGAAAGCACGAAATATGTAGGATAATAGTCATATAATCAATAGTCATAGATAATAATTTGATTGGTCGGGAAATATGCACCAAGGTCGGCAAAAAACGGAGTATAATGAAATTGAATATACTATCATGCCCTATGTATATAATTAACAATAGAGAGTTTAAGATCTACGACGTGGCAAACTCGACGACGCGTGAACGCGTCTCAATTTCAGCTCACGAATGAGCGCTATAAGTACTTTGATTACTGTAATAAATGCTTGAAGCTTTTTAGAATAACGTTACAAACAGCTAAGTTCAGGAGAAACGATGTGGTTGCTATAAGGCGGACTTTATGTGACACATCTAACGTCGTAAGAAGCTTTCACGTTGCTGCAAAGATGTGATAATGCTTATAGTTTAACGTTGTATTCAGAATAACAACGTTGAGGATACCCCTGGGACCACAAATTATTCAAACCTTTTATTTTGCATGAAGAATTTCTTTGTTTCGAAGGCGCGTCGTTGAGTTACCTCGTCGTAGATCTTAAACTCTCTAATTATTCACCGAGGTGGAAGGTGAATAGTGCAAGCATATACCTTAAATTCACAGCGAGACGCGAAGTTATTAGCATATACCATATCAAAATGACGAAAAAACAATGAAAATAAACAATTCGTATATTACAGCTCCCGAATAGAGTAGTTACTGTATAAACAAAACAGTATCTAAAAGCAATTTTATTAATTAGAAATAGTTTTAAACAAAAGTTTGTCGCCTTCTTTTTGTTTGACGGAACCGCAATTCCGTTCAGTAAAAAAATCTGCTCGTCTGTAACCAGAACAAAACATTTCATTTTGGTCCCGATGTGACTAGTGCAATTAAGGATATTCGTAGCTGAACAACCAATCAAGTTGCGTGAAAACAACTATCCACCTCCTGAGTGTATGCTAATACGTCAACTGTACATATAAATTTTTACTACATGCAGGATACCATTATTCAAGATATTTTATCTGAGAAATTGACAGTTAAAACAAAATTCATAATTGGTAAGTTGTACTGTGTGCATTTATGTTCATGCTATTTGTTTTTACCACCATTCAGGCTTTGAAAAATTTTATATTAAACTTTTTGTGTGTGTTGGTGTTATGTACTCAGGTGAATATGATGTTTGTGATGTTACTCTGAGTGTGCATCTACACCGGGCAAGCTGAAAAGTTTGCTTGGCCACGGTGGTCGCAGGTTCGATTCCCACCGTGGTCAGACAAACTTTTCAGCTTGCCCAGTGTGGATGCACACTCAGAGTATATAACACCACAAACATCAAATTTTATACTGCTAGCAGTTCGAACAGTTTTTACCAGAGATTAATACAACAATATGTCTAGACAAAATTTAGTAATTTTATTCTTTTGTTATAGATGTGAAGCAAGATAGTGAAAAAGTAGTAAGAAATAAAATTGTTGGATGCTTTCAAAGGCTTTCAGGATTAAAACATTTACGAGATGATTTTACATCGTTCAGGTAGAGTATAGGGACTTTGTGGAATGCTAAGTGAAAACAATTAGAAGCTAGGAGGCATGGAATACAAAACAATGTCAATTTTTGGTGTTACTATACTAAAACGGTGTAATATAACGGTATTAGCTGCGAACTAAACTAAGGAAGTCAAGGAACTTTTCAGTTTGACTCGTGTGGAGATACTCAGATCGAGTAACAACAATAAAATAAGGAATGTTTATCATGGTATTATGCTTGCCCCGGGCAAGTTAAAATTTGCCAGAGAAGTACAGGTAGATTTGCCAGAAAGACCCCTATCTTAAAGTTACATCATTGTCTCTTACGTAACTCATCAGTATAACACTTGATATTTTTTACTACAGAGAGTTGTTTAGGAACACATCATCTCTTCACAATCTACGTTCGTACGAACCTATCCTTAAACAGGTAAAAACTGCACTTTATTAAATATTCTTGGTTGTAGTCAACATAGGCCTATAAGATCACTGTATATATATATATGTCAAACATGGGAGTTCAACTGTAAATATCAGGACTTTTGGCATCTCACTTGATTGAACTAATGTTGAAGCATTTTGTGATGGCAATTTCGAGTGTAAATTTTATACATTTCTTTAGACCATTTAGGTCTTATAAATGTATAAAATTTTCACTCGAAATTTCCATTAATTGTAAGCTGCTGTGATGTTTACCTGTCTGAAGGCGGATAGTGATTTTTTCAATATCTCGTAAAGATTTTTTGAAGCGCTATTAAACTACTGTATGGATATCGGGATATGGACCTCACATGCAATTAATAAAAGAAGCTTTAAATTATACTTTAAATATCGCCTCATATTTCTCGTATAATTAATATTACACTTCAGGCTGCAAGCGGCCCTTGTTTAATCTACAATTATATTACACTGCAGGCCGATAGGGCCAGTGTCTTAAAATGGGCCCGTTTCTGTCTTCGTCGTTTTTTTTGGTTGTCGCAAACGCGACATACCATCGAGGCACCTCAGGCTCAGGTACAGTACTACAGTGACCTGTGCAGTTCAGTTTCAAAATGGCGCCCTTGGAGAATGGGAGAATGTTTCAAACAATTTCGTTAAAATTGTCAACGAATTCGAATTCAACCTGTATTCTATGGATTTTGCATTGTGTCGAGCTCTGGACCGACTGGATTTCTTGCGAGTTTAATTAATGCCTTTTTCCTTGTGCACGACTCTGAAAATACTAAATTTGGATCGTTGAATTCTCACGAAATCGTGAATCATAATATACTGAATATAAACGAGCCAAGGACAAGTTCAAGGTAAAAGGTCGTACTTTTAATAGATAACTACTTTTATTGTTAGGTTTTGATATAGGTAATGAGAACAATACTGGTGTTAAGTTCTTTGTATGTTTGCATGGTGATAAAATATAATAGGTTTTGTTTGTGGTGTTATACTGGTGTTATATCAATAAAACGTATGAAACAACAGTCTCAATAGGCCTACTAGTTAGCTGTGGGAACGTGAAAACTGTAGAGTGTAGTACGGAGATGCGACCAATAATTGCGGGAACCACTGAACATTTTCATGAAATACACAACAACGGTAACTCCGAATAAAGACAACATTTTTTATTCCACATTTCGACTTTATTTAGTCATCATCAGGAATGGATGTTACATAGTAATGCCAATATATACAGAATTCATAGACAAAAACGGCGTTCACTTTTTGGATATCAAACTCACATCTGACGCCTGACGGTACCACAACTTTTCGTAAAAACACTCGCACAGGCCAGTATGTACATTTTTCTAGCTTTACTCCTTGGTCTTATAAAATTGCATGGGTCAGGTCACTTGTGAGCAAATTTGTAGCGACAGTACTTTACTTTCAGCGGAGATAAACACCATCCTCAAATTCATGTCTTGGAACGTGTTTTTAAAACGCATTTCTACTAAACTTATAAAGCAAATGACCCCAAACTCGGACCAAACTCAGACTAACCCTATGACAACAATGACAACAAACAACTGCCTAAGATTTTCATGCGACTCCCATACATAGGTAAACGTGGTACAGACCTAATACGAAACTTCTGAACTAAGATGTTAGGACTTTTAGACACTCCTTGTAACATAATCATTTACTGGGACACAATGACAACAAGCTGCTTTGTTTCGTTGTTGTTGTGTGGAGTGTAATGTGAAATATGGTTGCTTTCCATTCAATGGCCTGACCGGTCAGATCCGAATTTTTATCTCTGTATCAATGGAAAGATTTGGTCTATCTTTCTCAAATATTTAGCGAAAATGAACCTCATTCTAATGTTATCTAAATTTTCCGGTCAGATAGGTCCGAAGCCCAAACGTTTTGTGTTCCATCCAATAATTTGATCGTTCTGACCGATCTGGCCGTGTTAATGGAAAGCGCCCTATGATATTGTAATGGCCTTGCATGTGTTTTGGTCAAAAGCTGCCAAATTTATGCCATTTGTGATAAAAATAAGTAAAATTCTTATATAAGTGCGTGAAAAGGTGTAGGCTAAGGAAGTATAAGTTGTCAACCGTGGACAGTGTGACCCCGGAGCAGGCGTCTTGTTCTAAAGTTTAGGACAGCCACGCAAAGACAATGTTTGCTGCACCTGCAATCGTGGACAAAAGTGTTGATAAAATCGATCGACATTTTAGGAAAATACAATCAAATAACTTCATTAGGTCTCCCCCCACTCCTCCACTCAATGTTGCCAAGATTTTCCTCTCATTTTAAACGTAGTTCAACAACATTGTGTTGGGGGAAGGGGGGGGGGGATATTTTAGACAACCTACAGGAATTAAACTACAATTTAAACTCTCACAGAGGCAAATTAAAATTTTATTAACAAGTTATGTCCGCGATTGTCTGAGCACGGATCTTAAACTAGTAAGTGTTTTTTGGCCTATATTTGCTACTTATTGCCTGAATATCTCTACCGAGCATTAGATTGTTTTAGGTTAAACGACGTTTCATAGATTTAAAATGGGTTGCTCTCTGGTATATTCCCGTAGGGTTAGATAAACAGATGATACGCGATATTGATTGTCGCAATCACTTCGCGCTAGTAGCGATTGTAGTATAATGTAAATGATGCGCACTAAGACTTGTGCCATTGACGTACAGGGTCCACGGCAATCGCACATTTTTTGTGTTTTGGACCGTATTTAATGGTAACTTTATATTAGCGACGACTTTCAGCGTAATTTACCGATAAACTGACATAGAAGTCCAAAACCGCTGGTAATTTGCAGTGTATAGGTCATATTAATATTTTGTCGTAATTCCGTTGCCTTTTTGTACTGCGTTGTATACTAAACTTCTAAGGTGAGTTTGTAAGATTAAAATATGCAAAATAAACATTTTCAATCTAGTAGCAGATTATTAGCTTGAATAGCGTAACGTAAATGACTGTGTAGTAAAATATAAGCAGGAACGCTTGAATGTAATTTGCTTATGCCTCAGTAATTAACAATGCAACGCTTAACCAGACGGTTAACCATGGCTATAAATGTCAGAAATTATTCCAGGCAGTGCTTTGGGACGATAAATTTTGTAGTTTTTCTATTTATTACACATGAATGAACTTCCTTTTAAATGTTTACATCGTAATTATGGTTACCATTTGCTTATTTGGGCTTTTAAGCACGGTTCACCATAATATTGATAAATATTTGATTGTCTTTAATAGCTTTTGAAACAAGCGGTTAACCGTTGCAAAATATCGAATTTCTGCACAATTCGCAGTTGTGATAACTCGATCTTCTCTGATACAATCCTGCATTTTCTGGAAATGTCAAAAATGCTACAATGACTACACAAGTATGCCAGCAAACATAACATTTCTCATTATTGTCGGTGGTTAACCGTCACGGTTAACCATGGTTAACCGTTCCGCGTGACGTGAAACCAGAGGTAGATATTCGCCCCAAAGCACGATATAAGGTTATTTAATACGAACTATACAGTTAGCAAGAGCAGAAGATGCACAATTAATTTGTCTAGTGCATTTTTTCACTCTAAGTGAACTCTAAGTTTATGTACTGCACATGCATGTTGGTTGCATCAAAAGCACTTGCAAATCTATCTGGTTAAATTAACATATAGTGTTGATCAGCGTTTTTTTGTTTATAAAAGCACATATAGTCGAACAAATAATGTTTTTGTCTCGTTTTGAAGCTTAAAAATCTCGGCTGAAAGGAATATACAATGTGAACCGTAAAACCCTCGGCAGCTGATTGCATTTTAAGGGGGGAAACTGAAATTTATTGGAGACAATCGTGGACAAAAGTGTTGATAAAATCGATCGACATTTTAGGAAAATACAATCAAATAACTTCATTAGGTCTCCCCCCACTCCCCCACTCAATGTTGCCAAGATTTTCCTCTCATTTTAAACGTAGTTCAACAACATTGTGTTGGGGAAAGGGGGGGAGGGATGTTTTAGACAACCTACAGGAATTAAACTACAATTTAAACTCTCACAGAGGCAAATTAAAATTTTATTAACAAGTTATGTCCGCGATTGTGGATAGATGGCAGGGCTGTAGATTAAAATTTCTGTCAAAGGACCTATATATAGTTGCAGTTTTTGCAACTGCTGCTAGGTATTAATAAGTCTCACACAGTACAAAAGAACTGATGCCTTATCTTGCCATATATAGATTGTTGAAAAAGTGTTTGACCCCAAAAAGGCGGAAATAAACGACATCGAATTTAAATCAGCAAGATTGAAAGATTTTATCAAGAGTGGTTTCAGGTAAGCGAGAAAGTGGTTTCAGAAAACGTACTATACAAAAAATAATGTTTTCACATAAAGTGTAAATTTCAAAGCGAATATGAAAGTTAGACATTTATACTTGCATTCGTTCGAAATCGCGATCTTTCGGCTATTTTATGTACTTTATTTTATAAAATTTGGAGTTATTGCTGGCGAGCTGTGTCAATTTAAGTAAGTGCAATTGGAAATTTAAAAACGTAAGATATGTTGAATTCACAATTTATTTAAACGTTCCAAAAAATAAGTTGGAAGTACACATTTACTCAACGTGGCCTCCATTTCTAAATTCACACAAGTTCGTTCTTTGTCTCATATCCAAGACAAGTCTTCTTCCCGAGTTTCCTTTATTTCGATTTAAACTTTATGGGGTGGTTCTTCCATTCAATGCATGCAGCCGGTATTTGTTGACATTACGCCAAACGCTCGATGAAGATTACGTCCTGGAAAAGCTATTTGAAATTGTCTTAACACTGCAACAACTCTTTTTGTTTCGAAATACTTTTCAACAATGAATGTTCTCTCCGGAATTGTTAGCTTTGGCATTATGAATGGTGATTGTAAAGTTTTAAACAACGTTCTAAATTTTAGCAAACTACCTTTAATTAAGTCCCCAAGGGACTTCGAAGATTAATATTTCGAAGCATCTAAAAACGAGCGCTTGTACTAAATTCTTTTTATTGCGATTAGCCTTCGTTCAAAATTTTCAAGAAACCCTTCATTCGAAAGATGAAGAAACAAGCTTTAAATTGAGCCCAAAACGAAACTATGGTAGTTTATTTTACGATAGAAATAAGGATGTTTAGGACGACTCTGTTTTTTTTATACACCCTATAGACATACGCCCATATGCATGTAGGTATTTCATGCAACTTCGTGAGATTTGTTTGAAATCTTTAAGGTTTATTAAGCTGCAGAAACTGTCATGGAGACTTTATCTCTTCATTATTTTTAGTCTATTCATGAATGTATCAAAGCCTCATCCAAGTGATCATCCCGTTCTCTTCTTATTTGTTGTCGGTGGAGTCACGTGTGCTGAAATTCAACAAATCAACGAGTATATTTCCTCACAGAATATTAAAACTCAGGTAAAGGAACTCACTGCATGATTTTACTCTGCTTCTGCACTCGAGCTTGGACACTAGTTTTGTCGAAATGTTTGAACGTTTTAACGAATTATAAATATTGGCAGCCATTGATCAAAATTATTATAACCCCTGCATGCTAGAACCATTTATCGTGCTTTCACCCTGAAAAGACCAGATGTTCAGATAGTGCATCATACAAATTTTGGTGTTTCGTGTTCCTGAACAATATATTATGATATTTGTTTTATTTTTATTTTTATAGGTCATCATGGGTAGCACAAATATATTAAACTCTCAAGATATTTTAAGTCGTATATTTTCTCAAAATAATGCTTTGTATATGCCTTATAGTTAATTTGTAAATTATAAATAGGCCTAAGTGTATCATGTACATTATAAATGGCATATATTGATGTAAATATTGAACCATAAATTAGTAAAGTTTATCCGAATAATGAAATGCTATTAATAGTAGTTTATCAACACATGACATTCATCAGGCCCGGCCAGAGGTTTCAGGTATATTGACCATTTTGCTTTTGGTATACAGTATTTTATGTTTAAATATGTTGAAATATGCATGGGTATAAACTATTCTGTACATTTACCTATATATTGACTATTTTGCTTTTGGTATACAGTATTTTATGTTTAAATATGTTGAAATATGCATGGGTATAAACTATTCTGTATATTTACCTATATATTGACCATTTTGCTTTTGGTATACAGTATTTTATGTTCAAATATGTTGAAATATGCATGGTGTTCTCGTCTGTTAGAACGGTCGTTAAATAGTCTGTATACAAGGCAGATTCTCTTTATAATTGTCAAATAACTCTTTATTTTATCCCGATTTAAAAATACAAAACACTCTGTCTTAAAATCAACAATAAAAGACGCCCGCATTACGCAAGCGCAGGGAACGATTCGTTCCTTAACATCCCCCTCCCGAATGCAATGCATTCGAAATAAGGTTAACATGAACATAATTTAAGTCTGCAAACGTCTGTTCAATATCAAGTATCTATTGATCGTAACTATTGATCACTGTCTATCATGCACAAGTGTCGTCACTGTCCGACTGTTCTTCGATATACTCAAGGGGACAAAAGCGATGTACAGGTCTAATATACTCTTTGCTCTTTGACTGCACTTTCACAGCTCTCACAAGGCCGTCTGCACCAGGATAGGTTTCCATTACACGACCGAGAGGCCATTCTCCGCGGTTGTCCTTAGGTTCTGCAATCAGCACCACGTCTCCTTCCTTTAAATTGTGTTTTGGATGAAACCATTTTCTTCTGACGTTGAGACGCGGAAGAAATTCTTTTCTCCATCGTTTCCAGAATTGTTGCAGCAGTTGTTGCACGCGATGCCATCGTTTTCTTGGGTTGTACACTTCTGTTTGTCCAGTGCTTCTGGGGCGAATGATCCTCCAATTTGTCCAACGAGTAAATGATTCGGTGTAAGTGGCGAGAGATCGTTGGGATCTGAGCTAACGTATGTGATTGGTCTGGAATTCAACAGTCGTTCAGCTCCGCATATGGCTATGTGTAGTTCCTCGTCTGTGATATCTGCATCTCCCAATATGGCTTTGATTGCTTTCTTCGCACTTTTAATCATCGCCTCAAAGACTCCGCCAAAATGAGGAGCAGATGGAGGATTAAACTTCCAGTCGACGGGATGATGCTTGCTGATACCTTGAATGATCCTGTCGTGGTCGAGGGCTTCAATCAATTCTCACATTTCACGTTCTGCACCAACAAAGTTCGTGCGATTGTCTGTGAGAACATAGGTAGGCGTCCTCCTGGAAGACATACGGGTAAACGCGTTGATAAACGAGTCCGTATCTAATGAATACGACATTTCCAGATGGACTGCCCTCGTTGCTAAGCAGGTGAACAGGCACAAGTAGCGTTTCGCTCTGATCTTACCACGTTCTTGTTTTGTTAAAAAAGGACCTGCATAATCGATTCCAATTCTGTCGAAGGCTCGCAACGAATACAATCTCGCCTTAGGTAAAGGGGCCATCATTTGACCGGCTGTTTGCATAGAAAATCTTCGTCGGCATTCTGGACAAAACTTGATGATGTTCCGTACTACACGCCGTCCTTTCACAATCCAAAATCGCACTCGCAATTGTGTTAAAGTATGTTCTATACCAGACCCATGGCCAAGTGTCTCGTGTGCATCAAGAACTACAAGGCGTGTCAGGTGGTGAATTTTTGGCAGGAGGATAGGATACTTTGTGTCGTATGGGATGTCTTCAGCGAGGTCATTATCATCTTTTGTTGGGTTTAATTGGACTAGGGACTTTTCATTTATGCCTTTAGGAAAAGTTTCTGTTTGCGTGTGTTTGATCCAAAACGTCTCAGCATCAGAGATCTCAGCAGAAGAAAGTGTTCTTTCATAGTTTCGTCCAGATTTCCCTCGAATCTTACAATTGGCGATGAACCGCTTAATCCAACCCGTCACACGATATAGACGTTTGAGGCTTGAGAAATGTGTAGGATCAATGGTAGTAAATTCATAGTTCTTAGTTGCATATGTCTTCGTGGATGATCGCCTTTCACACTGGTCAGATTTCGGTACGTCTTTACTAGGAGGTGTGGTTGGCCAGGCTCTTTCACCGTCTTTTAGGAATGATGGTCCTTCCATCCAAAATTTGTTCTCACTAAGGTCTGCCACTGATAAACCTCTGGTTGGTAAATCTGCTGGATTCTCCGTTCCTGGTACGTGCCGCCACTGTTCTGGACTTGTTGTACGCTGAATTTCCCCAATTCGATTGGCTACGAACGGTTTAAATTCGCGACTCTGGTTACGTACCCAGTAATACACATTTTCTGAGTCTGTCCAATAGATCACTCTGTCCACGGTTAACACGTTTAGGATACTTGCGGCTAGACGGCTTGAAAGAACAGCTCCCATTAGCTCTAGGCTGGCAACTGTCACCACTTTCAAAGGTGACACACGGCTCTTTGACGCAATGAGACGCGAAGTGAAGGGGTTGTTCGTGCACTGACAAACCAAATAGGCAACGGAGGCATAAGCATCTTTAGATGCGTCGGAAAAGAGGTGTAGGTCAACCGCCTTTGGGTTTGGTAGGCGTAAACATCGTGGAATGGCAACGCACGATAAGCTCTGGAGTTCAGATACCCAGTTTTCCCATTTCGTGCTAAGATTACTAGGTAAGACATCGTCCCAATCTAACCCTGCTGTCCATATTTCTTGCATGATAGTCTTGGCGCGGATCACGAATGGTGCCAGGAACTGAAGTGGGTCATATAGGGCGGCTATTGCACTTAGAACGTTTCGTTTGGTAGGATTGACACTCATATCAGGTTCCTTGGTTTGGAATAGAAAAACGTCTCTCCTGCTTCCCACGTAACTCCTAAGGTTTTGGTTTTAGCAAGCTCTCCGTTGTTGATCTCGATTGCAGATAGACGATCGCCCACGGGAATGTTTTCTATTACTGCTGCCTCATTTGATGACCACTTTCGCAAGTTGAATCCAGCTATGGCTAACATGTCGGACAATTGACGTTGCAAATTTTGTGCACTCTCCACAGTTTCGCTAGAATCTAATAAATCATCAACATACATGGAATTGTCAACGGAGATCGGCTGCCTCCGGATATTCTCTTTTGTGGGCTTGTGCGTGGGATGGAGAACGTACTGTGAGCAGAATGGTGATGCCGTGTTGCCAAACAACAATCGCGAAAACTCATAGACGTTAGGCTCTTTCGATGTATCAAAATCTCGCCACAGGAACCTATGATATGGACGGTCTTGTTCCCGGAGACCAACTTGTAAAAACATTTTGGAAATATCGGCAGTAAGGGCTACTGGGGCTCTACGGAAACGTGTAAGAACATCCACAACCTCTCTTTGCAGCTTGGGACCTGGTCGTATTGCATCATTAAAACTTTTGCCTTCGTGTTTCATCGCAGCATCGAACACCACACGGACCTTCGTCGTATCTTTATCAAGTCTAATAACGGGGAAATGCGGAAGGAACCATTGCTCCTTTGTCTCGGATTTTGGTACCTCCTTTATGTAATCTTTCTTCTCATACTCTTCAAAGACATGACTGTACGCTTTCATAATGTCCGGACCTTTTCTTTTTAGAGATCTTTCCTGACTTTTGAGTCGTACCAAAGCCGCTTCGTAACTGTTTCCCAACTTTGGTTCGCCTTCTCTCCATGGAATTCCCACCGTGTATCGCCCATTCTCAAAGGTAAGGTTCTCAGCGACTTTTGTCATTGCTGCCTTTTCTTCGACTGTCATCTGCTTGCCTGATTCTTCCTTGATCCCTATTGACTCAAGTTCCCAGAACTTTCTCAGAATGTCATCGGGTGGTGGTTGCTTGCTCACTTGGTTGCTGCGGTATGTCGGGCTGGCTAAGCTACTGACTATACATTTAATATAATGTACTGTTCTAATTATTTTATCAGTCACCGGCCATGACTGAGAAAAATTCTTATCTGTGTCATGCAAAGACTTTTTCAGATAAAAATAAGATACTTGGTGTTTCCTGTCATCTCTTGTATTTATACTGTAACAACAAAAATATTTCGAATATTACTTCCACTCTTAATTGTCAGGCGCCATATTGAATTTTGTGGCCGTGTCAGAAAAAGTCTGGTGACCAGGTACTCTGACGGATCTGAAATTGCTCCAACCGCTATTAAGGCCTAATTCAACAACGAGCAAAATGCGAAAAATTTCGCGCGAAAAGGTTGAACGCATGCGCAACATGATTTTGGAATGTTTTTCTGCGAAATATTTCTCTGGGGTTGAGTAGTTGAATTAGTCTCTACTCCGTTACGAAATGGAAATAGCGAAGCCAATCAAATGCTTGTGTTTTGAATGACAAAATAGCGAACCAAACCTCTGACTGATTCGAACCCCTGACTGTGTCTGCATGGTAACCTAATTAAGCTCGTCGAATCGGAAAATATTTTAGGTCTCGTGGTCCAAAATAACTTAAAATGGAATCTACACGTGGATAATATCGTTAAAAAGTCAAGTAAACGACTGTATATGCTGAGGTTACTAAAACGGTTTAACGAGGATAAGACTTTGATCGTTGTGTACATTACTGTAATAAGACCGATACTTGAGTCTTGAGTATGCTTGCCAAGTATAGCATTTTAAGATTCAAAATTTTTTATCCGAAGACATCGAACGAATCCAGAAACGCGCACTAAAGATCATTGTCTCCTTTTCAAGTTATGGCGAGGCATTAAAGATTACGGGTATCACTACACTGTAAGACCGGCGTGAAAGCCTTTGTGACCAATTCTTTAGACAAAATATGAATAATGATAAAATGACGGACTTGTTTCCAACGTAAATTTAATAATTATGTCTGCAAAACGGACCGTTACAAACAGTCCTTTTTCCCCCAAATGATTTTCAAAAAGAATAGTAGGATTATAACCTAGTTATTTTAGTATTTAGCCATCACAATTTAATTTAATTGTAATATAGTTGTAGTATAATATTTTTAGTCATAACTTTATGTTGCTAAAAACTTCCGTAATTTAACCTTTTTTTACATTTAGGTTTGGGTGTAAACAGTTTAATCATAGACAATCCAGAAGACATGTCTTCTGGATTGTCTATGGTTTAATCGAAATATATTTTTACATCTATTAAAGACAGGTAGCTACCACTGCTCACACATGGCTATTGATCTCACGTGGTCGCCGTACGTGGGCGAAACGAAATTTTAACTCGGTCACGGACATAATAGTCGTTCTGCAATTTAATTAGCCTATATAAAATGTTTATAGACCCAAAAAATTAATGCTCAATAGAAATTTTTAATTTACTAATTCCTCCTCAACTCAAGGCATGAACTTTCGTTTCGAAACTAAATCCAGTCGGAAAACAAAGAGTCGTCAAATGTTCACCCTATTTTGTTTATGTTATATATTTTTTTCAAAAATATATATTTTTAAAGAGGTTGTCAAGTCCGTTCTGCTCATGCGCGTGTTTTGTTCACATTTTTGTTTCAAACAATAGATAATTTAATTTTTAAAATTCGGTCCGATCTGTGCATGAGCCCCCAAGTTACAGTAGCTCATTATGCATTCAGAATATATCACGAAAGAGAAATTGAACTACTAATTAAAGCAAAAATTTAGCCCCAAAACAACAAATTTTAAATCGAAAACGCTAAGAAGCGCTTCTTACAGAGGTCTGGACAAAATTTGATTCTAATTTGTACAAATTTTGTCCATACAAATCTCCATAAATTGACGACCGGCCGGCCGGCCGAGAAAAATATTGAAAATATTCGAAAAATAAAGTCTGTGAATTCAGACCTTGTGTATATAATAAAACAGTTATTCCACTCACTCTCGTCGAATACAGCTCCTATTCGACTCGAGTTCGTAGAATAACTGTTAAATATCGTCATTGTGAAAAATTAAACTTAAATTGCTTTCAAGTAACTTGATTTGCATTTATTTAAAAAAAATTCTTCTCTTTCACAAACAATACATGCAGGACTCGTGTGGTAACAGCGGTCGGTCAAAATAAGGGGAAAATATAGAAACATTTTAAACATGCCAAAGTTACCTCTGGGTTTTTTGCAGAAGGAAGATTTTATAGTAGAACAATCTGCGTCACTCCAGCGTCCAGTGATAGGATCCATTTCTACGCAAGCTTCAAGTCCATTGTAACTGTCAGGTTCAGCAACATCCCAGTTGGTATAACCAACAGGTTGACCATCTGCCCATATATGACCTGTGGTAATGTCAAGAAATCCTCTTACATACCGGTACTTTTGGACACACTGGGATGTTCGATATCAAATCTCAAACTTATTTGCACTTCATGACTAAATTAGCCAAACACATGTTGATTATATTTTGCTCACATGATAATACTGGATACCTGATATTTTGATCCAGTCTTAGGACTGGACCAAAATTAATTCAGTCCTTGGACTGGAACAAAATTAATTCACTTCAGTTTAAGTAGTGATTTATTCGTATGGATAGATAGATAGATAGATAGATAGATAGATAGATAGATGTTTTAATGATTAAGTTTGCAGCCATTAAAAAGCTGAAATATATTTAGTCTTACATGTAATATTATACCTCAAATTCAAATTGTCCAACCAGGAAGCTTAGTTTGTGCCACGTGAGCATGAAATTAATCGCGATATCACGCCTTACGTCATCAATTAGCGAGCCTGCGTTCCTTTTGACAATGTTCCACCCCATGTTCCTCGGGGAACATGGGGTGGAACATTATTCGCGTAGACCGCGCGTGACAACACGCATGACAAAAACATGGCCGACAAAATATTAATAGTATTGATGAGTGATGAATAATCAAATTTTAAACGTAAAACCTGGGGCTTTTTCAAAATTTTGAAGCAAATTTTGAAAAATGTTGTCATTAATATTCCAAACGATATGTGATTCGAAAGAAAATCGACGAATACTTGCGTCAATCCGAAAATAAAACATCGTATTCACGAAGGTATGTGTCAAGTTTTTAATTCTCAACTTGGAGGCTTTTAATTTTCGGTATAATATATCATTTATAGACCCTCCGCTCGGGGAATTCGGCGAAATATTACCCTCAGTGATGATATTTCATCACTTCGGGTAATATTTCGCCGAATCCCCCTCGCTCCAGGTCTATAAATGATAAATGTTATATTAAGCTAAAACTATTTTATAAAATTAAGAAATGTCAATTACTAAAAGATAATTAGATAAATATATAATATACAGTTGAATGATCTAATTTGTATAATAGTTTAAAGTGTCTAAAAGCTGTAACTATAGCTTTGAATAAAACTATTTTTACAACGTGCTCCTCAAAGAGTAATTATTCATGTTTCTAACAGGAAGTAAGTTATGAAGGCGATGTTGTGGGTCGTTGGTGATCTCATAAAAAAGTTTAGATGCAATTGTTTCTCTTCTTTCAAAAAGCGTTGAAATTCTTGACACTTCGAGAGCTCTACTGTAATGTATATGTGGATAGATAATTCTTAACGCCCGTTTTGTAGCCTCTCCAGGTCGTCGCTCAGGTATGCTGGTAGGCTGCGGTGGAAGACTGGGCATGCATATTCGAGGATGGAACGAATACAAGTGACATAAAACAGAGTCAACTCCCTTGGTGCAACTGGTGCTCTCTTTAGTTGCTTCAGAAAATACAGCCTACATTTAACTTTCTTAACTAGTTCCATTATATGCATGTTCCATTTCAAATCACTGCTGATATTCAGTCCCAACACTTTTACACCAGTTACTATCTCTAAAGGCTTACCGTTCACCACTAACGGATCGAATTCTGGTTTCCTCCGTGCGAAACTGATCCTCAGCTCCTTACATTTAGATTCATTCAGCTCGAATCCCTCGCTAATCGATTGTCTGGAGAGGTCACTAACAACATTTTGAATATTGCTCGCATGGCCCTTTTCCACCAATATTGAAATCGAGGTATCGTCTACGTACTTCCACATGTCAGCAGTTGTATCAAGGTCATTGATCATGATTAAGTACAGCCAGGGTCCTAACTTTGTCCCTTGAGGGACTCCGGCAACCACAGAACGCCACTCAGAAAAGAGTCTTGCGCTAATTTGACTCGTTGCTTACGGTCCATCGGGAAATCAACAATCCAGCACAAAATCCGTTTTGGAAGATCGTATGTCGACAATTTTTGCACCAGAATGTTGTGGTCGATCAAGTCGAAAGCCTTTCGAAAGTCAAACAACACAACTCTGGCCGTGGCGCCGTTTCCGTCAGTATTAACGTACCAGTTGTGGGTCATGCTTATAAGTGTATGTGTGGTGCACGAATTAGGAATGGTTCCAAATTGTCGTTGGTCGATTTTCTTTAACACAGCTGGTTTGACGTAATCCTGAACGACATGATCTTCAGCTATCTTTGATATAATTGGTGTGAGCGATATAGGGCGGAGGTGTTTGTTGACATCTTTGATCGATTATTGTTTTGGAATTGGGACTACGTCTGCCTCTTTCCAGGATGGTGGGAGGCGGCACTCGCGGTAAGAGGTATTGATGATTTCTGTGACGGGTCCTGCCAAAAGGGCAGCGTTCTCCTTTAACAGCCAGCCCGGAATTCCGTCCGGCCCCTGTGCTTTGGTTGGATTGAGCGCAGATAGCTTTCGGAGGACTGACAATTCCGATACTGCCGGTAACTCATCACTTCCATTATCTGCAATTTTGTTCAGGAAAGGGGAATCGCCATCTCGAAAGGGATTACGGGTAAGCGGTTCAAATCTGTCAGTAGGTGTCAGAAAAGTATTATTAATATGCTTCGCCAGGTCGCTAGGTGTTAGATCACCAGTACCTTCTGGAAAGTGGATGGACTTGAACACACTGTCTCTTTTTCCAGAGGAGTTAGCAATGCCGTCTAATCTCTTTATTTCCTTCCACCATCCAGCCGGAGAACATTCCTTAAGGTGTTGAACTCTGCACTCGTAGTACTCGGAGCGACAAACTTTGCGTTCGCGATTAACGCGATTGCGTAGGACTCTGAAATTAGAATAATCACCTCACCGAACGCAGTTTAACCCACAACACTTCTAAAGAATTATTTTTGTCCTGTAAGTCTTCCAAAACGGTGAAGGGAATTGAATTCTTTACGTACATGCATACTCCGCCACGAATAGTCTCTTTCCTGTCCCGTCGTATAAGATTATATCCGTCTAACGCCACAGCAGTATCTAGGATGTGTTTTTTAAGCCAGGTTTCTGTTATGCAAACAAGATCAAAATTTGCATTTTGAATAACATGGCAAATTTCGTCGATCTTTGGAGCTAGAGACATTACGTTTGAAAGAAACAGCGATGGGACAAACTGTTTGTCCTGTCCCTCAGATCTTGTAGATACAGATGTATTAGGTGAAATGTACACACAGTACGTGTGGCGGAGATGAATAACTTCAAATTGGATTTTACGGTTGAGCGGTCTTCTTAATTCAACTTGTAATATCTCATGGCGTTGGATTGCTTCTCTCGCTTTGACAAGCCTCCCAGCTCTTTTCCCTCGAAACCGTGGCCAAAATCCCTTTCCAAGAGTGTTAAAGAATAATCTTGAGTGGTTACAGGCCATGATAGTTCGGTAAAACAAATAAAAATTGAATATTTCAACAGAGTTAAAAAAAGAAAAGAAAAAAAATGCAGCCATCCAAGGCGCATATGAGACGTAATTTCAAATCCTCCCTGGACTAGATTTGATGTCTGCGCAATTTGATCACTAGTCTAGTCCTCATAGTCGGATTTGTATAGGTAATCATGCGATGGCGAGTACAACTAGGGATTAATACAATCATGCGATGGCGAGTAAAATTAGGGATTAGTATAGTACGAGTGATGTTTGGAAATTTTGCCAAAATTGGACGAGCCACCCACCGATCACGATTACGATTAATCCCTAATTGTACGAGCAACATCGCATGACTACTTTGTTTATTATTAGCATGACAAAATTGGATACTTCTCAATGTCAACATCATATTCTCTCGCCAAAGCACGGTCCTGCCAGACTTTCAACCAAAATTTGGTGCTTCTGTTCGTATTTCCATTTAGTTCTTCTGTTAAAGCAAAATGTGGTGTTTTTGTTCATATTTTCATCTAGTTCCTCTGCGGCAATTTCATTTCAAATTTGTGTTTAAACTTTCCGCCATTTTGTTTGTTTTGAGAAAATCATTAATTGTACGGCAGTACAATTAATGAAATAATTGTACTCCTCTCAACCCATCAGCATCCAGTAATTTTGTCATGCTAATAATAAGAAATATTACAAAACATATACAACAGAGGTGTTTATTGAAAATCACAATCTATTTCACGATCACTTTAAAAAAAATTGAAATTGTAATTGTATTACACTGAAATCATTCGACTAAGCTAATTAAATCTTTCTTTTGCCAATCGTAATGACGTGCACATTTTTCAAATATCACTCGCAGTGTTAATCATTAATTACAATCCTTCCTGTGTGATTACCTACTTATTGTAACTGCTATAATAGCTATAATTAGCTTACAGTAATGTTTATTTCCAAACCGGTTTGACATAATTTTACAAATGGCTAATCACATGCGAGATTCAAATTCTGAACCTAATCAAGTGTGGAAGTAGGATTTGCAACCGACGTAGCCAGCCCGACGATTTGGTCCCCTCATTTCTTTAGAAATTGATTGTGTTGATAGTTTATAAACATGGCAATATTTGTATAGCGGGACTGAATCGTCGGACTGACTAGGCCACTGATGTGACCAGAGGCTTTTCCTTCTCGCCTCTCGTTTCTTTCCCCTCGCAATGAGGCTCTGGAACCAGGGTAACCGTTTAAGTGTAATAGAAAATATTATAATAATGGTCATTTCAACAAATCGCATTTACATGCAAAAACGCACTTCCTACCTCGAAATACTCCTCTGCTTTCCAAACCAATCCATACATTCTTTGTTGTGAGATTTCTTAGGAATTCATTTTCCTCCTTGCTATGTATACTAACAAGATCCCATCCGTTCTTCTTGCAATAGTTTAATGCATATAGCCAGTCTGAAGTACTTGGCGGGAAACGATGGTTTGTTAAATATATTATACGGTAGTCGAAATAGGCGTACGGGGCGGGGGCAGGGGCAGTTGCCCCCGATCAAAATGAAGTTCAGGCAAATTATAAACATAATTCGGGCAAAAATTGGGGGAATTAACTTTAAAAACAAGACATATACATTTTCAATATAGTATTTAAAATTAACAGAAATATGTAAAGTTTAGCGTGGATATTTGACAAATTGGAAAATATTTTTGGTCGACCCCCCCCCCCACACACACACACACACTTTTTCCCGGCCCTCCCGTACGCTTATGATAACCCAGACAAATATTTTAAAGCGAGCCATAAACAATGTTGCTTATACATGAAACATGTCATTGAAGCTTATGTTTTTCTTGCTAGCATAGGGGGTTATAACATAGAAATCGGTGATTCCAGCCTAAAGACTAAGATTCCAGCCTAAAGACTCAATTTTGATCAAGGTAAAACTGAAGAACTAAATTCAACACCACAGCTAAAATTATAGAGCGTCTTAGAATGAGTAAAACTGCAAAGATTGGTTGCTAAATGTTGTAAAATGAATATATTTGTATATATTTGTATCACGTGCGGTAAAATGACCACTATTCTCTTATTTTTACCGCGCTTTGTACAAATAATACAAAATTTGCGAACTTCATTTCCCCATTTTACAACAATTCGCAACCAAACTTTGCAATTTTACTCATTTTAAGATGTTCTTTCCAGCTATGGTAATAAATTTTGTTCGTCTTGTATATATCAAATTTCGTCTACAGCTGGAATCACCATTAATTAATTAATTAATTATGTACTAATTAAAGCACGCGTATAAGTGCTTTATCAGATATTTAACAGAGTGCGCAGCACGAGTGTTTAATATCTGATAAAGCATGACTACACAAAGGCTTTGAATGACTTAAACAACGCCCCATCTCGTGAGTTCATTGGCAAAGAAATTCTAATTAACACTTATTTACTGAGACCGAGGGAAACAGTGTGTTTTGTGGACCCGAGACCGTCGATGTTGAGGGTCCACATCGGATGGGAAACATCGACGGTTGAGGGTCCACAAAACACACTGCTTTCCAGAGGTCTAAGTAAATAAGTGCTTTATTATATGTCAATAGTCAAAGAAACAACAAATTAAAGAACAAATGAACGTAAATACATGAAATATTTTATTGTTAAAACGTTAAATTAAGCACTGCAGTTACTCAAAGCGAAAATTTAAATTATTAGGCATGTCCAAAGGTCCCAACTTCACGTCAATGGCGCACGTGATTTTTTTTCGTTATTCGCTGGTCGATAACGTATTGTTTCCCTCTCGCGCTGTTGCGAGGGAGACAGTCTAATTTTGTCACTCTCACGTGATATGCTCTCGACCAATAAAACACTAGAAAAAAGCGGCTTTGACTATTGATATATAATAATAATAATTTATCACATATTTGTGCCGTTTATAAGGGTGATAACATGGTGACAGAAAAACGATTTGTCATTGATATAATATTTTGTCAATGATATCGTTTTTTTGTCACTCATATTGATTTTTGTCCCGCTATTTTAATAATTGTTACATTAGGGCAATGATTAATATTCTAACTAGAAATACATGCATGCAGCAACCCCTCGCATGTATTTTCCAAACATTGATTTAACAAGTATTAGTAATCGATTAACACTGAACCTGTGACTGAACGCAGGCTCGCGTTTACGTCAGTGTTGCCATGGCAACACGATAAATTTAATTATTTTTTTATTATATTTGTTGTACAACACGCCAAAAATAGTTGAAAGATTATTGCTTTTAACTATATAACAATGAATTTCCGAAATATGTACTGTAGGTATGTTGTTCTGCATTTTGTGAGCTTTGATTTAATGTAAAATTTAACGTGAATCGCTTCGTAAAATGTTTTGAAATGTTCATTTTATTAATATCAAACTACAAACTGCTCAGTTTTCCGATATAAAACTGTACGGGTTTTTATATAGTTTATAAAACAAAATAAGTTCAAATTGTTGAGTAATTTCAGTTCGGTTTTCAAATGAATTTGGTCTCCTTTATATTTTACCTTTTATTCTTAAATTAAACAGGGTAATTTAGCAACCTTTAATACAGCTTTATTGAAAAGGAAAGCAGTGCATGTTTTACGCAATAAATTAAAGCAACAAAATTCATAAACATTAAACATCCAAAGCAAACTTGCCCTATATTCCACGATTTTCCACAGTAAATCAATTCTTCTCATTTCATCAAACAAAAATTGCTTCAAAGCTCATTGTGTGAAACGTGATTTTCCAAATTTTTGCTTTTGAAAATTGAAATCTTGCTTATCCCACTCCTGGCAAACAGCCATATTTTTGAAATCAGTGAGGATGACCACCCACGGTTGGTGGCCAACGCCCGCGCTCATTGATGAACTTTAGACTTGGCTAATGCTTCCCTTTCCCCGGGTGAAAATAGCCGGGGGGGGGAATTAGTACCCTCGCACGGCGCTTCGCGCCGTCGGCTCGGGGATCAATTCTGCCCGGATAAATACACACGTACATGTATATTTACTGGGGGGCCTTTACTGAGACCGAGGGAAACAGTGTGTTTTGTATTGTGCCATCCATCGCGAACGACAAGCTTCACCTACTGTGGATGACATCATTCACTCACTTAATGGTGCCAAAAAATTCAATAAGCTTGATCTGCGATCTGGATACCATCAACTCGTCCCGGCGCCAGAATAGAGACACATTACAACCTTTGTTACTCACAAGGGACTAAAACGATACAAGCGATTAAATTTTGGCACTTCATCAGCCGCTGAAACTCACCAGACAACACGCTCTTGAAAGCATAAATAGAGTCTTGAATATTAGCGATGACATTATCATTTTGGGCAAAATAACAGCAGAACATGATAAAGCCCTGAAGGAAATTTTTCGGCGCCTGAGCGAAAAAAGACTAACTCTGAATCCTGACAAGTGTGTAAAGACAAGGAAAATCTTAATTTTTGGCTACACTTTCGGTCCAACTGGCATGAAACTTCATCCAAAAATGTCCTAGCAATACAAGATGCCATCCCACCAATCAGCACAGCAGAACTTCGTAGTTTCCTCGGTACAGTTAACTATGTCTCCCGTTTCATCTATGACTTCTCCACCATCACAGCCCCACTTCGTGCTCCGACTCGTCACGGAACCAAATGGCAATGGACAAAACAACATTATCATGCTTTTGACGAGTTAAAATGTCGCCTCACAACTAGCTTAGTCCTGCAATGGCCTTGTGTGCCATTTTAACCAGAAAATCAGTGACAGTGGGGAAAATATTGTGGCATATGCTAGTCGCTCTGTCCCCTGTCGAACAAAGATATTAACAAACTGAGCGTGAGGCTCTAGCCTATGTACGGGCATATGCAAAATTCCATCTTTATGTATATGGTACGGTGCACCATTCACTCTGATCACTGACCATAAGCCACTCATCCACATCTTCAACAACCCGAAAGCTAAGCCTGCTGCTCGACGTGAACGTTAGAATCTTCGATTACAACCTTTTCAACAATTTCAGTGTTCGCTATGAACCTGCAAAACTAATCCTGCCGACTACATATCTCGCCATCTACTACAAAACTAACCATTGCGCGAGCGTAAAATTGTTGGAGATTAATGAGTGTCTGTCATTTCTGACAACATCCACAGTTCGAGTTGCAATTACAGTCTACACAACCAGTCTACCCGGGCGTAAATAGCCGGGGGGAATTAGTACCCTCCCACGGCGCTTCCCGCCGTTGGCTCGGGATAATTGAAGACCAAAGGGTGCAAGGAATATTTGAGGAAGCACCAGCATAGCCTGCGAACAGGGAGTTTTACATACCCCACATGGAAGTTGTGAGAGAGGCAGCGACCTCTACTAAACCGCGTGTAGTGTATGATACTTCAGACTCCCAAACGTTAGCGGCTCCTAAGTCTCGCCTGGCGAAACGTGGTCTTGCCATACCTCGGCTAGAAATGTTCGCTGGTCATATGACAACAAATCTGGTTAGTAACGTGGCGAAGGCGATCGGTGAAGAAAGAGGGTCTCTAAAATCACAGTCTGAAGCTAAGGTAACTCGAGAAGTTTTAGCAGCTGCGGTGGCTGAGCCCGAGCGAGATGATTATGTAAACCTACTTGAGAAAGACCCTGAAAATCGGTGAGTGGGTCAAGATATTTATATGTAATTACAAGAATAAGAGAGACGACCGGTTGAATTGGAAGACCTCTTCGTTATGACGAAATCCGGAAGGAAGACAAGTGGTGGATTGCTGAATTCCATGGGCCGGTTGTACGAAGGTCGGATAGCACTATCCACCGGATAGTGATTTTTTCAACCTTTGTAAAATGCTTGAAAAACAGTGAAACTACGGATATAGACGACACAAGAAGTATAAAAAACTGACAGGGGTGGGTTGACTACAAAATTTTTGTAGTTCGCTATGAAAGATTTATTTAAAATTCAAGGTTTATTCCGCCATATTGCCGGGGGTGCAAAAATATTGGGGCGAGCGCGCGGCCAGCCATGACTGCCATATATTTTACTAATGAGTGAGCGATAATTTTGTATGGACATTTCATTGATTTTCTCATGCTATATTAAAAGATAGTCCATATTTTTGTATTCTGGCTGATCTGTGTGTATTTTCAAACATTTCGTAAAGATTTCAATGGAATCTGATTGGGGGAAATCTATGAATATGCTAATTTCTTCGACACCTTTCGGCGAGCTGTTTACATTTGACTCACGACAACGAAAGCACGCAAGTGCCGAAAACAGGGCTTTTACGTCTCTGTATGTTTAAACAAAACAACATTTCAAAATAATCATGTTTAAAAGCAAGACAACAAAGCCGTCGGGAAAGAAGACGTCCAGGTGCGAGAGTGTAACCTGATACCAATGTCAATCTCACCTTTATTGCTTTATATGACATGCTATTAGATATAACTCAGAGATAAACTTATAAAAGTAAGCGAATCCAAAGGGTATATATTGAGAAATATTGAGAGTTTCAGTTGTTTATATTTCATGTTCTCATTGGAGATTATATTGTGAATAGTCGTTTTACTTTGGCTGTTTATGGCTACAAGTACAAAGGAGAAGCTTGAATACGAGGATTTCGATGGGTTGACAGAGTGGGAAAATGGTGCGTGCTCCAAAGAAATTTTTGACAGTATATTAAGAAGGAATACCAACAAAGGTTACAAACTAATGATATTATTAAGAGCGATCCTAACACTCTGTGCGATGAATATTGGAAAGATGACATTCAAACATGACCACATCTTGATAATGGAATGCTATGTTATAGAGTTAGGTAAAATATTTGCGGAATATAATATTAGGTAATAGGTTGCACGCTATTGTTATTGGTTGAATTTAGTTAGATAAAATCACGTGACGAACACAAGTATTGTTGTTGTTATCAGTCTCGTACCCAGAGCCATCGTTGAGTGGCTCTGGCCACACGAGTTGAGTTAATTAGAAAATACGGTAAAAGTACAGTATTTTCCAATTAACTATTTCGTACCCATTCTCCGGGAATTCGCGCGCGCCATAGTATTTTCAAGAGGAGTGGAGAGCTAACTTTTTGCTGAAAATATCAATAAAATCGCAATTTTTCCCGTCAAAAGCATTAAAATATGTTCGGCGCAGTTAGTGTGAACAACAAGGATACTGAGTGCACGTGTGATTTCCGTTTAACAAGTAATTTGAGATGATTGAAACATCGGCTTGTACACATGTCAACACTCATCGAGTCATCGATCAAATATTTTGTCTCAAATGGCTTCTATTTCCTTCAAAATGTTCTGATTTCTTCTATAAGGTATAAGTACGTTTAATTATTTGTTATATAAAAGTAATTTAATAACTCTCAGCTTTATTAAATAGGCTATTCTTGAGCAAGAACGTTGCTTGTTGCACACTGCCTTTGTTGCCTTCAATAATTCTTTAATTTGTTACAATTTTAATATATTGTTCATGTCATCATTATTTTGTTCCAAGGTTAATTTTTGAACCTTGGGCTCTGAATTTCCATCCTAATTGTAGTCTAGTTAGAATACCACAAAATATATTGTGTACCCCCTAAAAATGCAGCAGATTTTCAGAAATTCTATAGCATCCTGTGAGCTGATCATACCCAGTATTTATTTAATACTATTATACATGCTGCCATGTATTATTATGAATCTATCATACCTAGGGAATTTAAAACCATAATGCTATTCTTTATACAATGATAAAATAAAGATTTTTTCTCAATAAGGAAGGTCTGTACTGCTGTAGCAATTAAGCAAAAGCCTGTAGCAGTATACCAGTGTGTGTTTAATTTTTTACTCAACTTGACTATTTTATAGCTTTAGTTTTACATTTCTTTCAGATACACCTGTGACTGCAAATGTGATAATCTTTTTATTATGCCAATACCTCCGGAAGCAATGGAGAAATCAGTCTCAAGTTAAATTATACAGTCTTGTATTCTGGATCAGTAAACTTGGCATGTTGCATTATAATGAAGAGTCTAATATAATGAAATACTCAAGAATGGAATAGTATCGTTGGAGAAGTGCATTGCTCATTAATTATGTGATAAAAAGTAGTTACTGGTTAAAGAATCAAGAATCACACCTGGTCTGACTAATAACAATGTCCTGTTTGAATAAGTGTAATATCATTTATACTTTCATGCTTGTATTGCTTGATAGGCTGATGTGTAGAATGACACATTATTGAAATCAATAAAGGTTTTTCAGAACTTGCAATTCATTTTATGGTACCAGGGGAACCATATGACATCATTAAGTTTTCCCAGGTGAACCCTATGACATCATAATTATTAAATGGGAGAAGAGGTGTTTTACAATATATTACACTTTATTGCATATTATCTGGCACTGACACAACTCTTTGTGCTTTGGAGGCTCCTTTTGAGCTAGGCTTTTGCCTGCATGGCTGCATCCCTACTTTTAGCAGTCCTGAAATTGTTAAAGATGTACATGTACGAAGTTATATGATAGTTCACTAATAAACCTAAAATTTGGTTTTAGTAGTCTTATTCTGAAAAAGTAAAGTTGTTTTTGTTGAGCAGTGGACTTCAAATACAATTGTTAATTGTTGCACACTCAGTTGTCCATTACAAGAATGAACATCTTATATTTATATATAGTAATCCCTGAAAAAAACAAGCAGAAATTCAACGTTTCAAGCGAAGGCCCTTCGTCAAGAGTTAGTAGCCAACGTTGAGTTTCTGCTTGTTTTTTTTTCAGGTAGTATTACTATATAACCACTCAGCATAGCAAGACTGTCGAATAGTTGACAATCATTTATTTACCAGTTTTATTGGCACCATTGTATAAATTGTGTAGATGGTTTCATATTATTACATACTGCACATAGTACATACTGCTTTTATTAAAGACCATGTAAAGTCTGTTCTGTGCATGCATTCTGCAATCCTACATTCCAATGGTAATTTTTCACACCTTCCAAACTTTCTTGAATTGAATCTCTAGTCTGTATTCATTTACAAACATAGCAAACCAGAAGAGTTAAAAATTCAATATAATGCATATCTAATATTTTACAACTATAGCACTGGGTTCAGACTTCAGAATCACAGAATGTAAACAAAGGGTTTGTTTACTTTACATACTTTACATGGCCTTTAAATTAATGAAACCTTTTTGGGCTGCTATAAACACCAATGTTTCTGACAGAGTTGTACAGGCAATACTGTAAACAGAAACAATATATTGTATCATCAAACAATTCTATCAAACGAATTGACAAGTTGCAAAAGAATCCAAATGCTGTTTAATTGTTACATTCACACCATGATGATTCATACATTTACAGTTCAATTAAAAATTCCAAATCTTGTATAAACACAGTCCTAGCATACGTGTATGCTTGTAAGTCTTGTACGCTTGAATTTCTTTTCAATAATAACACTCCAATATAGTAGATCAAGGACATATGCCATCATTCCCATCAATACTCAGCGTGAACCAAGAGTATGAATTATTATCATAACGAAGGCTGTTATTTTCCCCAAATGAATTCAAGTACGCATAAATCAACTCCTTAATTTAATCCCTTCACCACTTTTTCGGACGAAAAGCAACAAAAAATTCGTCAAAATAAGCAACTTTTCAGGCCAAATAAAGCAAAATATATCGTATTCACTCATATTGGCCGCGCTCGTGAACGCCACAGGGGGTATGGGTTCAATAACTTATGGATCGACCAATCAGGATCGTTTTCATCCTCGTCCCCAGGCCCAAGCTCGGGCGGCCCTCACAGTGGCCCTGGTTCAGGCTGTTGATCTGTGTCGGAATTCCGACGCAGAGGCTTGGTCGCACAGCATATGCCTTTCTCCCTAAAAACATGGCGACCGCAATGAATGCAACTGTACGAGGAAGGCAGAAGCAATATATTTTGCACTTGCAAAAACAAATAATACTCAAATTAAGTTAAAGGAAGAGCAGAAAGAAGATATTCGTCAAATAGTAAATGGAAGGGATGTTAAATCGTTGATATACCAACTTTTACCGTCCATGTTCGACTACATTAATTCGAGAAAAAGAAATATTTCTGCCGTGTTGCCAGAAACAATTGTAATCGTGATTTCCCCATTAAATGCACTGGTGGGCGACCAAATAGACAAGCTAAAAACTGACATGGGTGTTAAGGCAGTTGTTTTACGCCATGATGATCATGATCAAGAAATGAAAGGTGGGTGTACTATTAAAAATACTTCATTTGGCCGAGGGAATTAAAGTCATAGAATACCGTCCTCCCCCCGCTTGTCCAAAATGCTGCCGCAAAAAAATCATTATTTCAAAAAATTTCGTTGTTTCAACAATGATCTACACTTTAAACTATAATTTATCGCAGAAGTCATGTATTAAGGGCAAAGTCTACTTGTACAGCAAAGCTTTCACTTCGCAGGCATTCGCTGCCTAGTTTTAAAGATTGCTGGCACATTACTGAACAGGTATATTGACGTTCGACCAATTTTCACACATTTCTAAAAATAATGAATAATGAATAATGAAAAAAAGCCTCATCTATTTTTGAAATTATAAGGACGGTATTCTATGACTTTCATTCCCTCGGCCTTTTGCTATTTTTGTATATAATACATAATAAGTATAGACGGTAAATAGACCCTTTGCCTAAAAACCCAACTGGTTGGAAAGTTTATTGAAAATATAATTAGCATTAAGCAATCACTATTAAGTGTACTTGCCATGTTAGGGTCTTGGGGAAATGTTTCCCTTATTTTTCTGTTATCAGCAGCTGTATCAAAATGTATGCATTATTAAATAAATTTATTTGTCTTTTTATAGCTTACAGTATGTATCAACAAAGTATGGATGTAAGGCCTCAGAGGTTCGCCAACACATGAGGACAAAAACAACACTGTAAAGTGTTGCAAAGCGCAGAAAGGCAAACAAGAACAATAGTCAAAAACAGAAACACCAGGCTAGTTATTAAAAATATTATTGCCCAGCAAATAATTTGCAAAAGGGGCATATTCAAAAAACATTTAGTATATAAAAATATTTATTGAGTAATGTTACAAGTGACTTGTTGCTTGTTTTTAACTAGAGTAGTCAATAATATTTGAGGACTATGTTTTGCTCAAGGCAAATTTTAACCCATTGAGCCACAATGCACCCAGGGCCGTATGCAGGATTTTTTCAACAGAGGGGCAGTAAGGCCTATATGCCGAAAAAAGTCCCAAATATCCAAAGAATAATTAACAATGACATTCTAAAAATCATAAATATAGTTTTCTCTGGGGGGGGGGCAGTTGCCCCCACCCCCCCGGTTGTGTACGTCCCTGAGTGTGCCCTACTTATTTTTTTACTTGTCTAACACCAGACGGTTTAACTCGTCAATAGGGATAGCCCACAAAGCTCTGCAGCTTAATGGGTTGATAAAAAACTGCCAATGTTTGTAGTTAACCCATTGAGCCGCAATGTGCCCTAGTGCGCCCTTTTTATTTTTTACTTGTCTAGCGCCAGAAGATTTTACTCGTCAATGGGGAAGCTCTGCAGCTTAATGGGTTAATGTAATTAACTTTACATGTCAATTATGGTCATTACCTATTGTTTAATAACAAAGGTCAATAAATATGGTGCTTGTGTACATATAATTGATTGCAATGGTTTTCTTTAGGTTATGTTTTTATTTTGACTTGTTATTAAACCATAGGTGAAAACTATAATTGATCTGTAATGTTTAGTATAACCAATTTCTCGTATAAATATTTATATTAATTTGTAATATATGTATTTTTTAATATTTATATATATATATTTTTTTTTGCATTAAAAAATTAAGAGTGATGAACAACATTGTGTGTCATTTACTATTCTTATAGGAAATTAGGATAAATTTCGTATAGGAATTCCTATAAGATGATATGTCATACTGCAAAACCTGAACAGTCAAAGTGATGTACTTTCCAGAAGGGTGTATTTATTAATAAAATGTTTCAGTGACAGTGTTAATGTTACGGACGCTACTATAATTAATCTAATTATTTCGCGCCGTTTGTTGACATTAGCATAATTAATTTAGGGCCAGTCTTCGTGAGCGAGGCTTTTTGGAAAACTATTGATATTCGTGATAGATATACAAACGTAATCTGCTTTAAAATCGCCATAAGATGTAAGTATTTCTTTCATTTTGACTTTGAAACAATTGAACTTGTTGTTAATGAACGTTATTTGTAATTCTATGTAGCAAACCTTTGTTTACGACCGATATTAGTCGAAATACGGACAGAATCGAGGACAGAATGATGCATGGATATTTGATATGTACAAGATATTTGTCATGATGTACTGCTTAGAATAAACTAAATTTGAGAGTAAATAAAGTGTAATGACGTGGTGATTATTATTTGATATATAAACGACATTCGGTTGGGTTCGTTCCCAACATAGTTTGATCTTTTATGGATGAAATCGGTGCAAAACAGTTCGACGAACTTCGCGATCGACGAAGTCAACAAGCCGGAAGTGACGACGGTTTACGAAGGACATCTCGGACCCGGAAGGTGCCGCGTGAGTACGCAGAATATTTAAATGAAATACATTCCAAAGGACTAAAGCATGAATTATTAAAACTTTCGCAAATTATTGAAGTATCTACAGAGTCTTTAAAAACTTATGATTATAGTAATATTGAGACTACAGAAATTGAAAAAACTTTGGACACTATACATTCAAAGTGGGTTAAGTACCTCAAAGTACATGAAGATTATTCTCAGCTGATTAATAACACGCGTGACTTGGAGCGTCTTAGCATCCAACGTCAAAGTCTCGAACGAAAAATAAATGAATGTAATCAACTAGCTATTGGTCAACTTAACAAGAGCATTCGCAGTTTACAGAGAGACTCAAAGTTTGAGAATGGTCTTCACCTTAAGGATGATGATAAACTTTCTGTGTCAGTACAAAGTAGTGTTTCCATGTCAAGGTCGTCAAAGAGTAGACGTTCAGGGGGGTCCTCTGTATCGTCTAGGGTGAAGACAGCGGCTCGTTCAGCAGAATTAGCAAGGTTGAAACTAGAGCAGGCTGAGAGAAGAGCAAAAGCAAAGGAAAAACAAATGCAAGAACAGATAGAATGTGAGTTACAAGATTTGCGGGACCAAGCGGAGTACTCTCAGTTAGAAGCCAAACTTTTGGCAGCCGATCAGGCAGACGAAAGATATAGTGACTGCGGAAGCATGCGTAGTTTATCAAAGGCTGTAGCTGGCAACAGGGTTAATATGAAGGTAGATGTAAAAAATTTGACACCACAGGACAGAGCTTTCTACAAGACAGATCACCCCTCAACTCGGCCTGAGTTAGTCAAATCGCCACCCGAATCAGTGGTCGATAACAAGCAAGGGATTGCGTCCCTTTCTGAGAAATGCAATGACACGGAGCCATCTACACCCGAGTTTAAACCAAGCGTTGACAAAACTAAACCTGATTTAACAACTACATTACTCGAAATGAATCAGCAATTGGTTAGTGCCATGAAGCAGGGAACCGAAACAACCACTGTTATGAAAGCCATGTTACAGCGGCAAGGGATTCCGAAACCCCAGCCAATGAAATTTAGAGGTGACCCTGCTCAGTTTCCTGTTTTTAAGAAGCGAGTGGAGGTTTGGTTAAACGAAAGAGAGTTTGATGAAAGAGAAAAAATAACTCGTCTTCTCAGTTTCGTGGAAGGTGATGCTAGAGACGCAATTGAACATTGTGAACTGAAATCAAACGGTTTTAGTCAAGCCATGAAAATATTAGAGTCTCAGTATGGTCATCCTTCTAGCGTAGTCAAAGCATCCCTAAAACGAGTCACGGTGGGTCCTCGCATTGAAAGGGGAGACAACAACTCTCTCGCTAAGCTCAGAAATAATTTACGTTCCTGTTTAGAAGTCTTAAAGGACAATGAGAATTACAAACACGAAATTAATGCATCATCTAACGTTGAAAGAGTTGTTGATCGTTTGCCAATGCACATGCAGATAGAGTGGGTAAAGAAACTTCCGAAAATTCGTGATGAGACCAAATTAAACCCCACATTACAGCATGTTCTAGAGCTAGTAGAAAGACAACTCAGAATCATGAACGATCCCCAATATGGACACATTTTGACTACAAAGAGGAAACCAATTGACCCCAAGAACAGGCTACCGAAACCATCACCTAAACCACCACTTCAGAATCAGATCTCGACGTTGACAACAAACCTCGAAAACTCCGGCCTTTGTCCGTGTTGCAAGGGTAAACACTCACTCACAAACTGTGACTCCTTTGTTAAAAAAACACCTGAAGAGCGATGGGAAATCGTAAAGAATTTAAAACTTTGCCATTTATGCCTAGCGTCGGGACACATGAAGGCCCAGTGTATATCAACCACCATTTGTAAATGTAAAGCTACCTACAAGCATCACCCACTCCTTCATC